TTTCCAACTAGTTAGTTTTTTCTGGTCTGGGAATATGTATGAAAGATATGCAAAATATTTAACATATGAGTGATAATGCATTGCTGTCCTCATCCTTTGGTCATCATGTGATGGAATAGCCAAAAGAAGCCAAGAAATCAATTTCTGATATTACAACATAATTTCTACAACTGTGTCTATCAGAAGCCTTTAGAAAAAGAAAGTCTTACTACAGTCAACTCTGTTCCATCCAATCTAATTCATTACCCAGTTTCCAACAAGCTGCCCTTTCAACTTTCCCCAAATTCATAGTCCAGCATTTGCTGATAATATTTCATCAAACTATTTCACTCATTTAATTTACAGTGCAAATAACAGAAATCAAATGACTATTCACCCAGATGGAATAGCAATAGCAATAGCACTTAAATTTATATACCGCTTCATAGTGCTTTACAGCCCTCTCTGAGCAGTTTACAGAGTCAGCATATTGCCCCCAACAATCTGATTCCTCATTTTACTGATCTCAGAGGGATGGAAGGCTGAGTCAACCTTGAGCTGGTGAGAATTGAACTGCCAAATTTCTGGTAGTTGGCAGTCAGCAGAAGTAGCCTGCAATACTGCATTCTAACCACTGTGCCACCACGACTCCACGGTTAACACTTCAGAGGAAAGTCGGAGACTATTACTTAGCTATGTGTTCATTTGTTCTGCAGGCAGCATCTAACATGCAAAAGATAGATTTTGCTTGGTCAAAACAAAGCAGCAGAATCTGGAAAATGCCACTAAAGCAAAATAATGTCCAGAAATATAAGGACAGTTTCTGGTATTTGCCGCAAGTCTGTTCTCAGTTCTGAAAAAAGTATATTGATTATAATAGGTTTGCAACCGTGCATGCTTACATACTATATATTATACCGTATACATATTGTATACTACATTAGTAAGCCTATAAAATTCTACTTCATATACTTTTACCCCCCAAAAAGTAAAATTAAGTAGACTTATCATTCTCAAGAATTATATAAATAATCAGAATACATAATTTGAAGCAGAGAAAGGAAAGAAAGATCTTTTAAATGGAGTTTAATGAATTGCTACTTGTGGAAGTAAATGATCAGTTGCTTTCTCATAAAGGAAGAATGGTGAAACAGTGACATGTCATTTTCTCAATATCAGAATTTCCCCGAACTATCAACTATGTGTCAACATGAATTTATTTTGCTAATGCCAACAAAGTTAGATGCCAACTGATAAGACATTTTTTGAACCAATGCATGCAGAACTGTCTGAATTCCTTAGAGATGTCCACATATAAGGAAAAAGGTGAAGTCCCATTACTTTTCTGACATTTTGTACCTCTTGTTAATAGCACCATTATTGTAACCCAACATACAAGAGGCCATTAATGCATTTTTCTGACTGGCACCATTATTTCCAGTGGAAAGGGAAGGGCAGTTTGCATGACATGATTAAAGCCTTTATGTAGAAGCATGCATATACTGCACAGTGCCATAAATCTTAGCAAGAGGCTGTCAAGTAAAATTGAAACCACTTATCTGACCTATCTGCTCCTCCTCAATACATACTTCTACTTAGGCTTCAGTTGACATACTCAAGATTCTGCAATTCATATTTATTTTAGAACAGAATGGCTGCATGTGGTGTAACAAGAAAATGGCAGCATGAACTGAATATAGTTTTCATCTCCAAAAGAACAGGAACTAACTATGTGAGCTAAACCAAATAGCTGATCTGTGTGTGTGTCTGTGTGTATACACACATACCTACACAAACACGTACATTTGCTATTTAATTCATATTCAATATGATCAACAGCAAATATACAAAATACAAAATCATTATGTTTCTAACAGAATGGTTTGGGAATGAGGCAATAAAATGGAGAATATTACTTCAGACTACAGTTTAGTTGTTAAAATCATGAGCCGTACTGGCACAGTGGTTAAAATGCAGTATTGCAGGCTAATTTGTGCTGACTGCCGACTGCCAACAATTTGACAGTTCGTGTCCTACTGGCTAAAGGTAGACTCAGCCTTCTATCCTTCCAAAGTCAGTAAAAAGAGGACCCACAATGTTGGGAGCAATATGCTGACTCTGTAAACCACTTAGAAAGGGCTGTAAAGCACCGTGAAGCAGTATATAAGTCTAAGTGCTATTGCTAAACTGTCCACAGATAATAAAAATCTATAAGGGAAGTGGAATAAAGATAATCATTGATGGCAGATAGAGAATAGATATTTATTCTTCCTCAGAATGAAATTTATGGTGCTCATTCATTAAAACTAATTGGCAGGAAATTTAAATCCCAAATTCACAACTTCAGACTATAATTTCTTTGTATGCATGTATTCTGTGTGGAACTCTTTGCAACATGACAATGAAAATGTTTCAATGATTGTAGTAAATTCTCTGTGCATAAAATTACCCTCTATATGCTTCTTCCCAGGATACAAAGCTATGTATTCCTACTCCTGTTAGATTACCAAAATTTACAGAGAACCCAAATCATTATTTCCAATTCCACAGATAACATTTCTGTTAATTATATAAACCATAACTCATGATTTTAACAATTAAACTGTAGTCTGAAGTAATATACTCCATTTTATTGCCTCATTCCCAAACCATTGTTAGAAACATAAACCTATCTTTACACTCACATGATTCACATGAATAGTCCCTAACTGCATTTCTCAGTGTGAAACGGTCAGCATTTCCAGTCCCTCAGCTATGTAAGGTGACAGACTTGGCAACCATTTGCATCACTAAGAAAACAAGCATTCCGGTAATATATAGTTGTGAAGACAACTACACAATCTTACAGTTTAATTATCTTCTTCACAAATATTTCTTTCCTAGATCATTCACATCAACAGCGCAACACAAGTAAGAGCAGCCCCATCTATTTAATGCTGCCCAGACTCTTTTGTGGCAAATAGAAATGGAACTCTTGATTGCACTCTTGCCCCCAAGCATGGTGTGGCTTCTCGGATACAATAGCAAATAGACATCTTGATTGTTTACTTGTGCAAAAGCTGCTAGATGGTTATCACAGAACCTCCCTCATTTCAGACCTTAATCCAAAAGATGGGAAGGTGGAAACCAGTTGAATACTATGGGTGGGGGAGGGGGACTTTTAAGAGTAAAGCCACTTAAAAGTAGAACACTGGAACTAATCCCTCAGAGAGGCAGTGAGCTCCCATTCATTGAGTGTGATCAAGCAAAGAAAGGACATCTGTCAGTCATGAATCCTTTCTCTTATATTCCTACAGAGAACAGGAGTTTGGACTTGATGGCCTACTAAATGGACCCTTCTTACTTCATTAAGTTTGCGAAGAAAACTTGCCACCCCCTGCCGGCTAAAAAATCCATTTTGTCTGCCTTGTCTCTCATCCTGAATTTGGCTCCAGGACTTCAGGAAAATGTATAGTAGTGGCTGAGATGAGAGATCAAAAATATCAAAAAGTTGATACTTGGTTGTCCCAGGTTTTCCTTCTCACAATATTAATTAAAGAAAGGAATGACAATAAGTAGCACATGGCCAGATCAAGACCTATCTACAAGCCAGGAAAATGTAAAGAAATCAAATTCTATATTCATTCATTCTTGGTATGACTGATGCTAATTAAATGTCTCCCACAGGCTCTATGTAAAAAGGACCAACTTACAGTCCCTGTGCCAAGTTAAAGTTTTATTCTCCTATCATTTCCACAAATTCATTTATTTAAATAATGTTTTAGTTTTAAAGGATCATCCCCAGACTATTTTCTCATCTCCTAACCCTGAAACCATTTTCTACCTATCATTTCCAGAAGATAAAAGGTAAAAGGAATTACTGCTAAACTGCAAAGACCTCTATAATGAAAAGACTAAGTTCATGAGCTGCCTCCATGAGGGAAAAAAATCTACTCAAACTGAAAACTATGCAAGCAGATTTTCTTGTCATTTCCCCCATCTACCCAAATTTACACTAAAAATGTTTCTGTTTACTTTTATTTACTTATTAATTTGCTACGCCCTGCAATGCAATGACTTGGCAGATTATATGTCTCCCAACTGAGGAAATCATAAGTAGTGTATACACAGGCTGAATTGAGGAAAAATTGGGTATTAATTATGCTTACTAGAATTTAAATACACCCAATAGACATGAATATACCATCTGCATGAATTTATTTTTGGCCTTTGCCCTGAACTTTTTCTGAACACCACAGAAACAACCAGTTTTTGGACAAAAATGGATCTTTTTTTAAAAAAAATCACTTGAATGTTACACAATGTGTGTGTGTGTGTGTGTACACATACAGTACATACAGTAGAATTCCTACAGCAGTCCAAATATGGACCAAAGGGAAGAAAGACAGAGAAGTGTAAACAATATTTATATATTTATATTTCTTACAGATATTAATGGAATGCAGGAATGACACATCAATTGATTAACTCCATGTGATTTAAAATAACACAACTCAGAAATAGTTTAAATTATTTTAATTCTTTCATAAGGACTGAAGAGGCAACATGATTTCTTTAAAAAAATCTGGCAGTATGGAAGAAGTATCTAACTGCTAGTCCATATTCCAATAAAACTTATCATCTTCCTGTTTCAACTAGCTAATAGCCCATTGCCTGAAGAACATGAAAAGAGACCATAATAAGTCAGGGAAAAAAAATCTGTGATTGTGATCTCTGATTGCAGCAACAGAGGCAGGAAGAAGCATCATTTATAAGAAAGGAGCTTGCAAAAATAAAGAGACAACAGAAAGCAATTAAATACAGCAGGCCTCATTCATATTTATTAAAATGTGGTTAACCATAGTTAAGAATTAGTTCCTTTGCTGTGCATTAGATCGGCTGTTCAGTTGGAAAGCATTTAAAATTATATATTGCCTCTGCCTGGCCTAAGGTTTATTTATTTTTTTCACTTAAATGTACACAATATTACAAATTTAATTTTAAGCTGTTTGAATCAGTCTATAAAAAAGATTTGATTATACCTGAGTGTTCTGGCCCCAGTTTTTCCATATCTCAGTAATCTTGGCGGTAATTGGCTGATTAGGTCCCTCACACTCCATCTCTGCCTCAGTTTCCATGGTAATGTTACAGGAGCTATTATAGATGAGAACTTCATCTCTTTCCACTTTAGGGCTGAAACGAGAAGGGAGGTTAAATGGGGTGTCATCAATCTTAATGAAATGCAATTATTTTTACTCTTATTAATCATCGCAAGCCATTAGCTTGTGGCAACTCCAGACCACCATTTGTCAAACTTTGCAAATTTCTGTAATTTTGTTTCCATTCTTTTATTGTTTGTTTTGCTTCCCCCCTCCCTACACACACACATACACCTTTATCTGCAAACCTTTCCAACAAAAAAATACACATAGGAAACATTTCTTAGAGATCCTGTACTGCCAGCCTCTCAAAATAACACACATACACGTTCACTTCTAGGGCAGAAAACTAAAGAGAATAGACACTGCTTGAGTCAAAGATGGAAGTAAATCCCAAGTAGCTATTTTTTCTTACTCACACTTAATCCTGGGGAATGAATAACTTGCAACTCCCTTAGGGCAAGTGCAGAAATTGGAAAACCATATAACTGGCTAACTGGTCCCTAATTCCAACTGTGAAAAAATGAGCTCATTTAGGGTTCCAATTCCTGCTACCCAGCTGATAGCAATGATGCTTTCATGCTAGCACTGGAACATTAACTTAGTAAATTAATTAAACTTACTTAACAGTCCAGGCTAAGCAGATTCGATATATGTGCCAGTTAGTTTAGTGGGGCCCCTTTCTATATAATCTCTGTTCACATTAGGAAGTGGTAGATGGAGTGAGAGATACTCATAATAATCAGGGGTAAAACAAATAAAGGGTCATTCTTAATTAGCTCTCCTTGTTGACAGCTGCCTATTAGAGTGGCAAGTGTTTAAGATTCTAATATCTATGTCTATATACCGAACAATGATTAGTTTGTGTTCCAAATGCCTTAACAAATTTCAGGTTTACTAATCCTTAAGACTGTGTGAAAGGCAGTCAGAACTTTGGTGCTGAAAGTTTGGCCTTTCCTGTCATCACCAAAACCAGGGAAGCATTTCCTCATTAGAGTTGCCAACTTCTTTTTACTCCTGTGACTTAAGATGTCACTATGAAAAGATGAATCCCCATCCCCACAAGCCATGTTTGTATCTGCAAAAAAGAGAATAGTTGCAAGATTGCCTTCAGCAATAATTATTGTCTCGGTCATCAGAGGAGCTAATAAAACTGTTTATTAAATCACTCTGCAAGCTGGCCACAGGACTGTTACATTCTCACTTTTTGCTACTCTTTTTGAAATCTTAACACCCCAAGAATTAGCAGGAAATGTACTAAAAATCTGGCCTGTATCCTGGGTACCCAAATCATTACAGACATCAAGACAAGACATCATTTGCTATCTACTGCAGGCCATCCTTTTTTTTTTTTTTTTACTAATAAATTAATCCCAATCAAGTAAAATATGCTTATAAACAAATTCATTGGGGGCAAGGAGCATGTGGACAATTTTGGAAATTGTAGAGAAATTGCAAAAAGTATAAATAGTAAGATCTCAGCATGGCAGAAAACCCAGATTACAGTTTACTATATAGATGTCAGGTATACCTTAATTATTGTATATTCGAAACATGGAGTGTTGCACAATTGCAAACTGAATGGCGATAACTTTCAATAATGTAGCCACTTCCCTGAACATCAGGCCAATGTATGCCATTAAGAAACTGATGTCTAGTTAATCAGGTGGGACAGTGATTTGTACCTTAAAACCAGGAATTGGCAACATACTGCTTTCCAAATATGGTTTAGTTGCATGAGCCTTAGCAGTGATTGAGTATCATGAGAGTTGAAGTCCAACATTTGAAAGGCCACTGGTGGTCTATCTCTGCCTTAAATCCACAATGAGTTTGCTTGCAAGATCAATGCTTCATACAATTACTGATATTGCATTTTTTTATGCAGTAATTCAACATAATTACTTCTACATGGGGCTCCCTTTGAGGAGCACCCGGAAGCTCCAACTGGTCCAGAATGCAGCTGCGTGGGTGATTATGGGGGCGACATGGGGCTCCCATGGAACATCTCTCCTGTGCGAGCTGCACTGGCTTCCGGTGGTCTCCTGGGTGCGCTTCAAGGTATTGGTTCTCATCTTTAAAGCGTTCCATGGCTTAGGGCCTAGGTATCTACGAGACCACCTTCTGCCACCGATAACCTCCCATCGGCCAATATGCTCCCACAGAGAGGGTCTCCTCAGGGTGCCGTCGGTCAAGCAATGTCGACTGGCGACCCCCAGGGGGAGAGCCTTCTCTGTGGAGGCACCCGCCCTCTGGAACGAGCTATCCCCAGGCATACGACTGATCCTGGACCTCCGTACTTTCCGCTGGGCGCTGAAGACTTTCTTATTTCAGCAAGCCGGGCTGGCCTAAAAATTTTTTAATGGGTTAATTTTATCGGTAAGGGGTTTTAAATTGGGGAAGCCAAATTGATTTAATTATTTTTAAAAACTATTTTATTTTCATATTGTATGTATTTTAATCTTGGCTGTTCACCGCCCTGAGTCCTTCGGGAGAAGGGCGGTATAAAAATTTAATAAATAAAAATAAATAAAATAAATAATTGAGATGAAGAATTTTTTTTTTGTATACCTGTATTTCATAATCCCTAATTTTTTTTCCCCCCTGTGGTATTCTGTAGATTTTGATTTGGACCAGGTGCTATGTATTTTGAAAGAAATGTGTAAGATCCCAGCTAGAGTTAGAAAAAGCTATATCTAACCTGAGAAGGAGGCCAGAAAAGTTGATAGAGGTCTTGTTAGGCCTTAAAGAGGAATAAGCCAAATCATCACAAAAGAATAGGAATGGGGTGGCTGCTGTAACAACATCAGCATTTGCTTCAATTTGGATGTCACACTGAATGAGTGTTGCACCAGCTGCTTTGCAGTCTTCGCCATTCTCTTCTGCAGAATATGTCAAAGTACAGAGAACTGCTATAGATGCTGAAAAAGGAGGGTTGGGGAAGTGAGAGGACATCAACAATTAGAGAAATATAACAAGAGTCTCATTTTCCTGATTCCCTTGGTGATGATTTACAATAGCAGTGTGATGGTGTTCCTGAAAGGCACAAGAAGGCCACCTCGAAAATTGTCTATCCCAATTGAACTATTTTCCACACTGACCAATCCTGGATTAAACACATTAAGCACAGTGCTTAGGACATCAAAGGAAGGGGAGAACCACATTTTTTGCCCCTGGGCTGTCATGCCCTTAACTCTTTCACTGCCACCCTTAGTTTTCAGCAGTTATTGAGACTTAAAATTTTTTTATTGTATTTCCAAAGTTAAAACACAAACTTCAACAGATAAGAGGGGAAATAACAACAAAGCAAAAATTATAGAAGACAAAAATATGCATTAAAAATATATACATATATTGTCCCTCCAGTTGAATACTGATATGTACAGTATATTTAAATATATATATAGTTTGCAAAACTAAGGTCTACAATTGATAAACTACAGCTCTACTTGCCAGGTAATTTGACCTATCATCTATTTACTGTCAAAAAAAAAAAAACCCAGTTAACAGGCAATCCAACAACAAAACTAAAGTTAAAAGGCCTCTGTTAAATCTATTACTATATTTCACACACAGCAAGTCCCCAATGGTTTCTCATCTACCATAAATCATTGCAATCATTATCTCTGATCTTTCCAAGATCAAATATTTTTGACTGATTATTAATAATAACATTTTTCCTTAAAATTATAACTGGGATCTTTCCCAACAATTACATTTCATTCCCCAAAATCATCATTCTCTGTTATGAATATCTCCACAGCATTTGTTTTTCAGAAGTTTTTCATGCAAGTTGAACCACAACATCTCTTAACAGTTGTCTTCTGATTGAATATAATAAATCTAATCCACAATCTCCATCAGTTTTCTTGAGAAAGTCCAATTCATCACTAATCCATATTGCCTTCACTAAGCCTTTTAAATCCATGCCCCTTTCAGCCTTCTCCAAAGAGCCTGCAATTCTCAAAGCTCCTTCTCCTTCAATTCTGTCAGCAACAAATTGACTTCCAATACACCCAATTGCAACTTTGATTTAGCTGCTGTTACCTATACTTGAGTATCATCCTTAAGTTGATTTATGACTCTTGTTACATCATTCAAGTCTTTTATCTACATTTTCATTCAAAGCTTGTAAGTTGAAAAGCAAGCGAACCGGTAGTAAACCGGTTCAGATTTCATCACTGCTTCCAAGAAGATTTTGACATTAGGTTGATGAGGCTCTCGTCTTTCCTTTGTATCTCTTTTTGTTGGCATTGTAAAAGGTATGTAATATATAATGTTAATCCTTAATGCATAGTTGTTTTCATTTTAATATAATCCAAATTTCTTTTATACCTGGACTTTCACAACAAAACATAGGCAATTCCTCTCAAGGACCAAACAAGTAAATGTTCTATAACAAAATATCTGCAGGAAAAATTAAGATAACATTTCCCACAGTAGAAAGTAAATAAAAAAGAAAGAGAAAATTCCTATCTCTTTAGAATAAAAAAAGAGATCAGAAATATATTCAAAAGTAAAATAAAGCAGCAAAGTTCTTTTAAAAACTGGTAAAATACAAAATCCTTGCAGTAGTCCAGAGCAGAAGTAAATCAAATCAGATTACTTTCATTACCAAGGAGAAAGTCTTTACGCCTCGGCTTCCATGAGGTAAAAGCAAAAGTGTTTCCTAACTATAAAGTAAACCAATAAAAAAGGTAAAAAGTTCACAGTCCAGCAAGAGGGTATAAAATAAATTAGTGTCCAACCAGACAATTAATTAAAGTTGTAGTTCAAAAGCAAAAAAAAAAAAAAAAAGTTCAAAAATGATGTTTAAAACAGGCTACACAAAACAAAAACCACCTTGCTGACAGGTAAAGATGGAGACCCAACCCTCCAAATATGTTTTTACTGAGAATTGCAATTGTCTAGATCCCTCTTCCCAGGTAAGTACACGATCATCCAAGGGTTATCTTGGGTCATTCCTAGTTGCTCCTGTTCAAATCTGGGGAGTGTGCTGTCAAAGAGCTGGCTTTGGCAGCAAAGTAAGCTGTTTGTGAGCAGGAAAAAAGTCCATCCTGCCACTTGGCATGCCATTTTCTGGAGGACTCCAGCAATGATTAAATCTTGATATCTTTTCAATTTAGCAACGGAAGGACTGAGGAGCACCATTTGGACTGCGCTTGGGGCATCCATTGGCCTTAATCTGGCCCTGATACTTACACTAATTTTATTCCTCTAATTCTCAACAATATTTTCATAGATAATAGACAATTTTAAAGGGTTCAAAAGGGTGATTTATCCATATAAGCAATCTACATGTACCATATTATGTTCTGCATTTACTTTTTTTTTTTTGTTGTTTTAAAAATCACTTTAAAAAAGGGAAGCCATTACAGCACCATATTTTGTCCACAGAAGAATGAATTACAGTATACTGTCTTGGTATGTTATCTTCATAGGTGAGAGGGAACAAGTTCAGAGACAGGAGCTCCCATTAATTTAGAAGATGGTCCACCCACAAGTTTTAGCTATAAAAATGAGACAATCTCCATTTTTGATTGCCCTGCAGCTGAGCTGAAAATAAATGGCTCAGGGCCCAACAGGGACAACACTTTGAGATCACTGGAACACGGAGATGATCCTGGAGTTATATAAATATCAATATAGAATTGATCTAAGTAAACACTGGTGTTAGTTAGTTAAGCCTTGATATTAATAGTTTTGTTATGAATACCATTATATCAGTCAAAGTGACTGTTTCATTATACTCTCCCATTATAAACCACCATGGAAATAGTTTTGATTAAAAGACAGCATATATGTGTGTAAATTATATACATATGTATGTTATACATATATGTGTGTGTGTGTGTATACAGACACATAAACACACACTGTATATATACAAACACACTATACATGTATATACATATTGTATATACGTCTGATTTTGGACTGTTTGATTGGATGGCTGTTGTTACCGAGACATGGTCTTTGGTTTTAAGTACTGTCTGTGATGTAAATTAGCGTTGTCTGTTTGGATGCTTCTGAGTCATGGTCTGGTTTCGGGCTATTTGACTGGCTGGTTGTTGTTAATGAAACATGGTCCGATTTCTTGTGAGCTGATGGGTTATGATTTTTGTTGTTCCGTAGTGGGGTGCCTGTTCGTTCATTTTAAAATGCTATCCGGGATCACGGTTTATGCAGTTCTTTCATTCTCAGTGATTGGTAGACTGGATCAATGTCAATGTGTCTGTTTATTGGCGTATTGGTGGAAAACCAGGCTTCAAGGAATTCTCTTTCTCTCCTTGATTTCACCTGGGTTACAACTATGGTCCCAGTTAGATCAAATTTGTGTCCTTCTGAGTCTTCGTGGATGGACATGAGGGAAAGTGGATTATGTCTTTTGACAGCCAGATGTGTTCATGCAGTCTGGTTGATAGTTTTCTTCCTGTTTGGCCAACAAAGTTCTTTTCACAGTTGCTGCACTAGATTCGATATATGACACCTGATCTTTGCGTTGTTTCTGTCTGCCCTTTTGATTTTGACAGGGTCCACTATCCCTCAAGATAAATAAAAATACTATGGAAATAAGATAACTATAAAGCTCTCAAGTCTATTGCTTTATATTATAAATGAAGGAAACTTGACAGTTTCCTGTTTGAGGTGCTACAATTTCCAGGATTCCTCAGCACTGGTAACATTGGTTGAGAATTCTGGATCAGCAACATCTGGAAAGTTATGGGTTCCCCACCAGTGATGAACTCATTTTCTTAAAAATACATTCCATTCAATTCAGTGCAACTTACATGTTTATGTGTGTGCATACCTACACCCAGACACAGTTGCACTGTAAGTTGAATAAAAAGGAGAAATTAATTGAATGTCATTTTATATCATACCCTAACAACTGTTGACTATGGAAAAGAAAAAAGAAAAGTCACAACCTCTATACAATTCTTAAAGGACAATAGCAGCATCTTAAATCAGTTACTAAATCTGCCAATTGGAAAGGTCAATCCGGAGCTAAAGATTCTACTTCTGTTCTTGTCTGTGACACACAGTGGAAAAAGGAAGAGACATAAAGATTTCAGCACCTTTGTTGTTAGATCTTTCAGAGTTCTACAGAAAAAAAATCCGGAATCAATCATAAAAGAGGTATATATAACTGAAGCAATCTGATTCCGGGAATTTATTCTGAATATCTGAACTGCAGGGTACTTATTGTCCTTATTAAAAAGCATTTCCTGATTGTTCTAGGACTTTTAGCAGTACCTATTGTACTGATGACATCCATTTTTTTTAACATCACTCTTTTTCTCAGCTTCCCCTTCTGAAACTATCAACTCAGGTTTATTTTTATTTTTTTTTCTGCAATGAAGATGATGCAAAGTATCCATTCAAGCTTTTCTGTCATCTCTTACCCTTGTTTAGTGTTTCTTTGACTCTCTTCATCTTGATCTCTTGATCTCCTAAAATTTCTTCCATTTTAATCTTTCTAGCAATAGATTTCAGAAAATCTCTTTTTATATCTTTTACTAGGTCCTTAACATTCATCATCAGAAGTTTGTGTTTTAGGGTTTTTTTCTATTTAAACAAAGCTTTCATATCCTACTTTAATGAGGTTAATAATCATAATGTTACCATCACTGATGCACTTTAGGAAGAAGGCAGCAAGAGAGAAGATCAGCAAGGCTTCATATTCTGAGGAATAAAACTAGCTGTAGAATAACAAATGGGGTCTTCCTATCTCTTCAGGCCACATAACCCTGCTAGTTTGAAGCCTAGACAAAATGCTTTTTTGCTATTTGCAAAAAACAGCAAGAGGAGATTATGTCAGCAATTGTCTTAGTCTATTAACTGTTCCAGTACTACAGTGCAATAAACAGATGCCAAATTGACACAAATCTGAGACAGGTTGAGCTGTTTCTTACAACATACAGTATTGCTTGATGTATGAACAAGTATCTTTTTCAGTCCATGAAACCACCATCATCATGTATCTTCTCAGAAAAATGCAGACCTAATCCTAACCCAAACAATCTGGGGCCTCAGAATATTTTCTGTTCATTAAAAATATTTTGATTTTCCCACTCTAGCCTTCCCTGTGAGGAAAAAATGGTGTAAAGATTTTGCCTATTCTTGATGTTCTTCCTTGGGTTCATAACCACATAACCAATGTTGACTATTCTTCTTAGCCTGCCTTTGATTTAGCTCAGCTGGTTTATTGTAAACTAAAAACCTCTTGTTACTCAAACTTTTATTTGCAGGCTGTTTCTCAAGTTCTGTCTTCTTCTACTAGCAAAAGTAATCAGTTTGTGGTTTGAAGCAACCAGCATAACACATATAATAAAAATAAGGAAAACTCTCAGTGCGGTATCAGTAATAGTAATCAATGTTCATTTACTGACATCTAATGGTAGTTTAAAATATTGCAAGATCTAACAATTAACTACATTTCTTATGAATGAATAAAATCCAACTGGGAAATTCAATGCAATCAATGGTTTTTCTGTTTCATAACTTAGCTGAACTCATTTTACTCTGATCCTTAGAAAATTTATTTTTCTAAGTTTAAAGTGGATGTTTCCTAAATTATTTACCACAAAAAAGATATGTAAAATGTTAAAGCATTGTGGGAATCTTGGCAGAGAACAGTAATTCAGAAATTATATATAATTTATAATGGTGAGTTCACTTGTTTTACTTATTCACTTTGCTGATAAGCAAAGACAGGCAAAGGAAATGTTTTGAAAACTTAAATTTACGCTAGCTTACTGTTTCTTCCCTGAAAGTGGATATTTTCCATTTGTTCTTGTTATTAACTCCAAGTTATTTGACATGTTTATTATTTCAGTATTTTACAGATAAAATAAGTAAATTTATCAAATATTTATTCATTATTAAAAACAAATTGTGCTGAATGTTGACCTTACCTTATCTAATTTTAGATATGGATGTTTTTATAAGGACAAACTGGTTTTGTAACACCCTTTATCAAATACGTTTCTGAAAGACAGCAGTCTTCTGTAGAATAAATTGTTTCCTACTAGCACTTGAAATATTCTCTCCCCTTCTTTTTCCTTTTTAGGAACAAATTGTCAGTTAATTGATTATGTCTAATGTCTCTCTCTTGGCTCATCTAGCCAATGGAGGTCTCCCTGGTTTCTTTAGCATTGTATCAGAGAATCAGTTACTCTGGCTTGTTTCTCTCACCAGAATAATCAGAGTATGTACTATATTACTTTGACTTGTCTACAGAAAAATAAAAAAGCAACTTTACATATAATGCTAACGAAACATATTGATATACAATTCTACAACTTTGGCTGCTGATTTTAACTTTTTGGGAAGAAGATATTTATAAAGGGAGATTATGGTTGCTTTAGAAAGGTAGGTATTTGCCTTATCATAATATTGGCAGGATAACAAGAAAGAGTATAACAGGAAAGAGTAACAAATCAAAATGCATGGCTAATTCTAGGGCATTTTTCACCTAGTTTGCCAGGTATCACATTTTCTAGATTCTAGAGAAGGGAAGGGAAGGGAAGGGGAGGGGAGGGGAGGGGAGAGGAGAGGAGAGGAGAGGAGAGGAGAGGAGAGGAGAGAAGTTAAGTTCTAACTTCCTCGTACGCTTAAAAAAAACTGTGAACACTGTTTAAAAATTATTAAAAATATTTTCTTTCCAAGAAACAAATTGAATAAAAAGAGGATGAAACAGACCTAACAGTCAATAGATATGCATGTGATGTGATAGAAATCAAGATCAGTTTATACTTGGTTAACCCTATAACATTTTTCATGGATATGCCACTTTCTTTCAAGTTCATAAAGGTAAAGGTAAAGGTTCCCTTGCACATATGTGCTAGTCGTTTCTGGCTCTAGGGGGAGGTGCTTATCTCTGTTTCTATGCCGAAGAATCTAAAGACGCCTCCATGGTTATGTGGCCAGCATGACTAAACACCGAAGGTGCAAAGAACACTGTTACCTTCCCACCAAAGTGGTCCCTATTTTTCTACAAGTAGCAGGAGCTCACTCTGTTACTCGGCGCTAGGGATTCAAACTGCTGAACTGCTGACCTTCTGATTGACAAGCTCAGCATCTTAGCCACTGAGCCACCGCATCCCTAAATTCATACTGAAGGACAATTCCTAATTTCTTACCAGTTTCATTCATTATATTTAAAATAGCAGCAAGAGAGTCACAGTAATCCTTTGTACCCACAGCAGTGAGAAGCAATTGGTAGTGCAGTCAGCATATTTTCTTCCTCTATCATTCTTATCAGAATTAACACATTTCAGTCATTCAACTGACCATTCAACGGCCCCGTTAAGCAGCTCAAATCAGTGGTGGTGGTCACATTCAGCATTTCACAAGGAGAACCACAAATGGTAACGGAGGTATTTCCTGGAGAAAATCCATTTCCGTGTATATATATTTCTCTTCCATTAAGATTGCCTTGAAAAAGAAATAATGTGCATAGGGTTTCACAATTTGCTATTGCTAAAATTTGTCAGCCACAGTTTCCTATAACATTTTGGAAATACATGTATTATGTTCTGGAAGACAATCAATAATATATAAAGATAATGACTTCCCTTGTTCCTTTCACAAATCTTTAAGGAAAATAATATGACTGTTCAAATACTTTGGCCACCTAATGAGAAGGAAGGACTCACTGGAGAAGAGCCTAATGCTAGGAAAGATTGAGGGCAAAAGAAGAAGGGGACGACAGAGAATGAGGTGGCTGGATAGAGTCACTGAAGCAGTAGGTGTGAGCTTAAATGGACTCCAGAGGATGGTAGAGGACAGGAAGGCCTGGAGGAACCTTGTCCATGGGGTGTGATGGGTCGGACATGACTTTGCAACTAACAACAAAATATGTACAAATATGTACAAATAAGATGGCATATAAGTATGAAGAGTAAAACCTTACACAAAGTGTAAGCAATTTTCATTGGTTCTTTTCAATTTATTTTCTTTTATTCTGGTCTTGGAGTGGAGCAGGAGAAAATCTTTGTTGGTAGGGGTTGTTTTTGGAAGTTTTTGAGCCTTTCCAAAACTCACCCAAAAAAGAGGCTTAACATGCCTACTTTCAATTTTGATTTGTATACAAAAAAATTGATTTGTATACAAAAATTTAAAAAATCATTCTGTGTATGCAGGATTTTGAGAGGTTTGGGGAGCAAAAAAAAGTAGAGCAGCTTACAATGTCCTGAGTCTCTGATTGTGCATCCCTGTTTTATCACTCCAGACAACACAACAGATAAACTCTAAAACAGATTACAAGAAATTTAAACTGTAGTATACAAGCTGATTATTAATAATCTATTAGAATCCCACTGTTATCACATGCAGAGCTACTGCTTTCTATGATGTATCTCTTTTAATGTGATGTATTAACACCTTGTAATATCCTTCATTTGACACTTAACACGTGGTCTTGCTAGCCATCTACTTTCATGAAGCATGTCTCCAAATGTAGAATGACTAAGAAAAGTCAACATAAGGTGGTGAAAGTCAGCTATGATACTTGGACTTTGCTTCAAAGCTAGTAATGGGATTTTGAAGCTCAGCTGGTGCAGCATTTATTCTGTAAGTAATGTGATATCACAAGTGTGATTTTTGAACATCAAACGAAAAAAAGTTTCTTACATTTTGTTGCAGGAGAACAGATTGTTATGAGAAAACATAAACATGATCTATGACTTGCAAGGAAAACCATATGTTTATCACTTTGAGGAAAAATTCTAATCTAAAAGAAACAGCAAGTTATTTCACAAAGACAACAAGACTCCAACCAAATATAATTCTGAAATTCTAAGTTTGCCTGCTTCTTGCATCAATTCAATGAGATTACAGACTTCTGCTCCCCAGAAGCATCCACATACAGTACTTACCATGGCTGTTTTTCACTGTGATAACTGTCAGGACTGAAGTGAATACCAAACTGGAGGAGGCCCAGCCCCTCTGCACAATTCCACCTGTCACATTATATTCTCCAGTAGAAAGCTGAGGAAGCACACATTGCAAACTGGTACTTTTGCTAGTAACATTGATGCAGGAAGAGCCTCCAATGAAAACGTACATGTCTTCCATTTGCCTAACTTTTGAAATCATTATTGTGAGAAACTGGCCTGTGAAAGGCAGAAGGGAGAGGAAAACTGGGGTGAATTCTTCACTGTAGCTTATTTCCCCAGCAGGATACGACATATTGTCTATGTTGAGCCCCACGATTGCAATGCCTTGGCCTGAAGGCACAAGGCACTTAAGGGCCCAATATGTGACTTTGGTGAGGAGACACTTCTGATTTCCTATGAGAACTGAAGTGCTGGTCCTGCCTTGAAGTGCTGTACCTTCTAAGGTCAGGAGGCCTCCGCCATTGATACTGAAATTCTGGGGATAAAGATGGAGCACCACAGGAGTAACTCTAAAGATATTGGAGTCTTTCTGTCTCAGGCAGGCTGAACCCCAGCTTCTGCTCAATACTGAAATGCTATGTTCTTTTGCATCAAGGCTGTGCATCTGACATTCAATACTGGTTTTGTTCAAGAAAGTTATATTGCAAGGGAGATGTCCATCCACCTCTATAAGGATTTCATCCCCTGCCCAAACTAATTTTTGAATTCTGATTGACAAGTAAATTAAGATCCCAGAAAACCTCACAGTGACAGCATCAATAACAAGAGTCTTGTTTGCAAAAAGATGAAACGAGCAGTCTCCTAGGCAACGGCTATACATTCCATTGACATTCACTGTGATATTAAGAGCTTGGTGTACATTAGGAAACTGCTGATCATCCAAAATGGGATCACTTGAAAAAAGGGCACATATTATGCTGTGTTCAGTCGAGTGTTGGATATCACAAGACAAGTTGCCTGTCAGATTTACCCAAGCAGAATTTGACCAAGATTTGAGAGAATGGCCAGATATTGTGAGCAACTGCCCACCACACACTGAGCCACGAGATGGAGAGATAGTCTTTATCTGTGGGTATATGGTAAAATGCTGCATCTCAGCCGGTATGTTGGCAAAGCCCATTTGCTTCTGGAGAACTCTCATAACATAGTGTCCTGGTTCTAGAAGACTTAGAGATAAGGAACACTGAGACCAAGTTATAGAGTGGTTGATCTTCTGTACTTCAAGGGGACATTCCACATGTCCCAGGATAGCTACTGAATTTGTTACATTGATTCCTTCTACGCCTAGGTGCACTCTATTGTTCAATATTTCTGTTTCAATGTTTATGATATTTGGAGTTAAAGACCTGTTGTAAAGAAAAGTGTAATTCTTAAAGATTTTCATTTGAAATGGGTCTACCAATGACTGGTTGCCTATGTATACTTCTATATCTGCCAGAAGATTTTTGAGAATGGTATTAGATGGCTGAGTGGGTGGTGGGGTCCGACATAGAATTTTATCTTCAGTTAGGCTGATTGTAGCACAGGGCTGAAAATCAATCAGGACCAAGACCAAGGCTGGGCTGTTGCTAAAACCTGTTCCAGAAATGGTGAGCAATGTTCCACCTAGGAAAGAGATAAAAATGTTAGTGGATGTTAATTTTTTTCAAAATTAATATAATTTGAAAAATTTTATTTCTATTGTATTAATTTGTAGTACAGAATAAGATGCCCAATGAGGCAACCCAGTTAGAGAGAAGCTTGGGATGTTAATTGTTTCAGTGTTTTGTTTTTTCCAGTACTTTAAATTCTCTATATATGTTTTATTGGTGTTTCTGAATTTTAAATTCTATATTAGTGGTTTATTGTTCTGAGATTTTGTCAATTTACTACAACACTGATATAAACAAAACCTTAATACAAAGAGCTGCAGTGACGCAGTGGTTAGAATACAGTAATGCAGGCTGACTCTGCCCCCTGCCAGAAGTTCGATCCTAAGTGGCTTAAGGTTGACTCAGCCTTCCATCCTTTCAAGGTCAATAAAATGAGGACTCAGATTGTTGGGGACAATATGTTGACACTGTAAATAGCAAAAGCACTTAGACTTATATACCTCTTCACAGTGCTTTACAGCTCTCTCTAAGCGGTTTAAAGAATCAGCCTATTGCCCCCAACAATCTGGGTCCTCATTTTACCGACCTCGGAAGGATGGAAGGCTGAGTCAACCTTGAGCCACTCAGAATCAAACTGGCAAGCTGCTGGCAGCTGGCAGTCAGCAGAGATAGCCTGCAGTACTGAGCACTGTGCTACCACACTTCTTAGAGAATGCTGTAAAGCACTGTGGAGCGGTATATAGGTCTAAATGCTATTGCTATAAAGAATAAAATCATATTCAATCTCCATTTTCACTAACTTTACCTATAAAGCCCTACATGGCATGGGCCCAGGGTACCTGCAGGACCACCTTCTGCCTGCCTCCCACTGCCCTGTGTGTTCACATAGGACTGCCCTCCTCCGGGTGCCATCGGCCAGACAATGTCGGCTGGTGGCACCCAGGATGAGGGCGTTCTCTGTGGGTGCACCGACCCTCTGGAATGGGTTACTCACGGGGCTCTGGATGGCCCCTGACGTCCGCTCTTTCCGCCGTGACCTGAAGACATGGCTTTTCCAACAAATTTGCTGATCTGATGGGTGATTTTTAATTGGGGGATTTTAATTGATTATTTTGGTAGCTATTTTTATTGTTTTCATCGTTTTAATTTCTGTGAGCCTCCCCGAGTCCTTTGGGAGAAGAGCGGCATATAAGTATAAGAAAAATAAATAAAAAATAAATAAATATGAAATAGATTGGGTCTCAAGTCCTTCACCCTTTGGTGCCTTATTTATTTGTTGGGTAACCCAAATTCTCCATAGTAACCCATAGACAACCTGTCCACAACCAACTGAGGGGAAGAAAAAATCAGCACTTATACCAAATAAACTATGAGGCCTAGCCTATGCATTACTGTTCTGAATGGAAAAGGTTAAGGGCAGGAATGAATCAGCCTTGGAAAGTATTTCTTTTCTCTATTCTGACATTAGGTGCTGAGATGCATCTCTTTGCTTTCTTTGCATCTAAAGGAGATGGAAGCCATTTACTCTTTAGGGGAAGCCACCAAAACTATTTTGTTTTCTGAAATAAGATTTAACTCCACTCTCCACACTTATTAATTTTGCTAAAATAATTAGCCCCCATGAACTCATTAATGGTAATTGAAAAAAGAAAAGGAATTGGAAGCAAAACTGGAAAATGAGAGTTGAGGATAGAAAATCATATTCTAAAATATTAATTACAAAATAGAAACCAAATGGCTTAGTTTAAGATTTTTCAGTGTAAAGGTGATATATTATATTCATCCCTTAAGTAGCTAGAGGATTTAGAAAAAAATAGACATGATACAAATATAAATATTGGACCATCTGAGCTCTCTCATAGAATAGATTGCAGGCTTCATCCATTAAATGTGAGGATAGACTGCAGGCTTTATTCATTAAATGTGTATTCATATTTTCCAGAGTCTCTTCTCAATCATCCCAAGTTTTTTCTTCTTAAACATATACGTACAAAGCAATGACATTATTTACCTAGGAAGGAGCCACAACATGGTTCTATTCTGAAGATCTCTGTAACATACTGGATTGATGGCTCCAATCTGGAAAATAAATAAGATTCTTATTATTAAGTGAACATGTCCCCCCACCCCCAATCATCTGGAAAAAGTCTTGATTAACTCAAATATCACTTGCCTCAATGGAAATGGCAGATGTGATTTGCAAGATATTCAGTTCTGGGTTTGGACATGATACTGTATGTACAGAAATGCATATGTTCTTGAACATTCACCAAAAGTCTTGCCTACCCCCTCTGCTCAATTGCATGTGATCCTCAGCTGACTGAAACAAATCTGTTTTCCTTCCAGCTTCTCATGCTAGCCTACCAGAAGATCTTAGGTGCACTGTTTTCAAATAATAAATCTATTTCTCCATTTTAAGAGAGAGAGAGTGGGGGGGAGGGAGGGGAGGGGGAGGGACTGCAAATACAATATTGGACATTTCATAATAACCTAATCAAGAGAAAATTATTTATAGAGCTTTTGGTGTTGCCCAAAATACTCTCAGATCCATCTTGTCAACACATGTTGACAGATAGGCATCAGGTTCCATTCTCATTTGTCTTATTATTTCTCTTAAAATTCTTTTATATTGCAAATTTTAACCATGAAAAATCAGAGCCTCTTACCCACTTGTGTTGAGTGGGAAATGATGGAGGAATATTGAAAGTCTATGCAATCCTTCTGCAAGAGAAGGCAGCAATACACTGATTCCACGATCTGTTACTGTTTGAATTTGAACGGCAGTGTCCCCAATTTTGACCTTCATATCAAATGGAGTATAGTTGGAAAATGAAGAAATACCTATCACAAGCAGCTGACCTCCTGCAATGAAGAAAAAAAACCAAACTAGACAATACTTTTTTGTTATAGCTAGTAACCCGCTACTCTCATAACAACCCTCTTCCACAAATCCCGATGCCCATATTCTGTTTTATTTCCACATTGAAAGGTTGACAATATGTTTGTGTTTTAAAACATTGCCTGAAATAAAACTGTCTTCAGAGAAACCCATTTGGTTCTGCTTTTTATCTCCAAAAATACAGTTCTGTAAGATAAGGGGAAGGTGATAAGGAGGACATTGAGGCAAAAACTGTCTGACAATTTAGCCTTAACACCTGGCAATCAAATGCATCGTGCTCTTGATAAAAATCCCGCAACAAATCTCAGTGGCTGTTATGTCTCCATTCATTCATTCTACCAATATGCAAGTTATATGCTGCACTCAAAAAGTATTCAAGGTTAATATGGGATTTTCTTTACATTGACAATCGTCTCTCCTGTTTGCACTTGCAGCCTTGACAGGTATAATTGGGTATTAGATAGCCTCCTGGATCTCTCAATCTTTTTCCTTCAATGATGTGCCTAAGCAAATCTGCCAATTGGAAGCATAACTAACAGCTGGGAATGTACTAAGCAAGCACAAATGTTTTATCTAGGTCTCATTGAAAGGAAAACCCTGAAAAGGGAGCCTTTGAGACATTAATGAGAGAATCCTGAGGGTAGCACTTTTTGTATCAAAATTATCCTACCTACCCAACATGATGCCTAGTGAACAGAACAGTTGTGATCTTTTTTTATTCTGAAGCACTAAATTTTAACAACTTTATTGCCTAAATATGCAAAACACTTTCAAACAATTCACTGAAAGATATAAATATTGGAAAAATCAAATAAGAATAGAAGGAAAAAACAAAAAAGAAAACCACTTATTTTTCCCTTTTTACCTGTTATGCCACTTTTATTTCTGTTCATTGACACAATGCATGGATTTAGAGAAGAGTTATAGGTAAAAGCATTGGCAAAGACAATCAACTCATGTTCATTAATTAGGGTTAGATGAACAGTAATATCTTCTCCTCCTTTCTAGGAGAAAAAAGAATGACAAAATATTGATAATATGTCTGTCGTCCATGAAATAAACTAAGCACCAAGATTATGTGGGGAAAGCCCACAATAAAGAAAAAAATCTTGCAGAACTTATTCTAAGGTTTTGAAATCAATCTCCCACCTGTTTCTGCTTCTTAGAACTGCTTTCCAAAGCACTCTGACATTGCCAACATTCTACTCTCAAAAACAGTTTGTGGCCAACCTCAGCTCTTCTTCTTTCAGGTCATAAAAAACAAGAATAGCCAACCAGCTGCCCAATAGGAAAAAGTAGGTACATGCAAACATTAAAGCGGGGTGCCCAACCTTGGCAAACTTTAAGACTTTAAACTTGGCTGGCTAGCGAATTTCTAGAGATAAAGTCCACAGGTCTTAAAGTTGCCAAGGTTGATACCTCTGCACTAAAGACAGCCCAAGTGGCAGCTTGAAGGACACTAGCAGAGAGGATGCTGAACTCCCTTTTCCCTATTCTTTGCTCAAGGAATAGGAACAAGGTGGTACAGTAGCCACTAGTGCTATTGTACCACTTTGTTCTCCACTGCTCCCCCAGCTAATCTTTTGCCTCAGCAGCAGTAGTTCTCCCCTGCCTTCTTCCTCTTCCACCTTTCATTATTTGGAAAGCAAGAGAATGAGAGCTGGACCACATGGAAAGAGTGGAGCCCTGATGGCTTCCCCTATTCTGTTCTCACAAAGCTTAAGCCTGCTGCAGTGATGGGGAAGAAGTAGCTCAGAGAGTCATCTCTTCTCTTTCTCCCATCTCCTCTCAATTGCTAGTCTAGGGAAGGCTTGTAAAGGATGTAGTGGCTCAGTGGCTAAGATGCTGAGCTTGTCAATCAAAAGGTTGGCAGTTCAGCGGTTCGAATCCCTAGTGCTGAATAACGGGGTGAGCTCCCATTACTTGTCCCAGCTTCTGCCAACCTAGCAGTTCAAAAGCACATAAAAAATGCAAGTAGAAAAACAGGGACCACCTTTGGTGGGAAGGTAACAGTGTTCCATGTGCCTTTGGCATTTAGTCATGCTGGCCACATGACCATGGAGATACCTTCAGACAGCGCTGGCTCTTCAGCTTTGAAACAGAGATGAGCACCACCCCCTATAGTCGGGAATGACTAGCACATATGTGCAAGGGGAACCTTTACCTTTAGGGAAGGCTTGGTGCCTGAGCACTTTCACCAACAGAGAGTTCCTTTGGGGCTCAAAGGGTTTATACCCTAGGAATGTTCAAAGAATAGCATCCTATCATTGGCTCCTCCCATCCAAACCTTGGTTCATGCTATATACATTTGCCATGTAGTTTATTCTGGTCCTCATGGGAAAGGAGATACCTGCTGTAGCCCTATGTATTACAGTTCAGCTACTGAGTGGGTTATGGAGAATACAGAGAAACTGTCTTGTTCTAGGAGTTGGGGGACAAAATGAGGGAAGTTCTCAGCAATGCAAATGAAAAAGTTCTCCTCCTTCTTCTGGGACTGGTTCCAGACAGTGTTGGTGGGAGGAGTCTCTGTATTCTCTTTTTTAGCATCTACATACAGTTGTTGGGAAAGGACATCTGATGATGGAGTGAGTATGCTGATGATACTTGGTTTTATATCTCCACCCTAGGCTATCTGAGTGATGTTTTAGACATCCTGTCCCAATGCCTAGAGGTTGTGTAGGCCTGGATGGGATGCAACAGGCTTCAGCTCAGTTCAAGCAAGACTGAGTAGCTTTGGATGTCTGAACATGCTGATGCCTGGGACCTTCCATCTTTGGTTCTGGATGGGGTGGTGCTACTTCAGAACAGACCTAGTACTCAATCTAGAGCTCCTGGATTTGTAAATATAGCTTGAAGAGCAACCATGGTTCAGAGGGCCTTTGCATTCTTCTGAATAACCAAATCCATTTGTTTATTCATTGATTTATTAAATTTGTAGGATTGCCCATCTGATCGAATTGACCCTGGAGTGGGGGGAGGACATTGCTCACAGTCACTCATGCCCTTCTGAACTCTCATCTGGACTCCTAAAATGCATTCAACATGGAACTTCCCAAGAACATTTGGAAATTTCAACTGGTGTAGAATGCAGCAGCAAGGGTAGTTGATTATTTGGTGCATATAATGCCACTATTTAATGAGCTGTGTTGGTTGCCAGTGTGCTTTCAGGTTCAATTAAAGATTTTAGTTGGTACCTTTAAAACCCTGCATGCCTTGAAGCCTTGTTACTCATGGGACCATCTCTTCCCAGTTGTTTCTACTCAACTATTCTGGTCTAGCAAGATCGGCAAATTATGCTATTAGCCAAGAAATGCAGTGCAGCAAGGCCCAGAAAATAAGCCTTTTCTATCCCAGTGCCCACTCTTATGATTCCTCCAGAGATCAGATTGACGCAGCCCTGTTGGCCTTTCATAAAGCCTAAAGACCTGCTTCTGTGATTGGGCAAAGTTCCAGATGCATGAAGGATCAGTCTTCTGGCTATGTGGTGATGATCTGTTTTCTCAGCTGCTGTATAATCTAACTTTTGTATACATATTTGTGTTTTTTTTTAAATTCTGTTCTGCCACCCAGAGTCATTGTTGAGATGGGGAGCTATATAAATTGATTGAACAAATAAATGACAGCTAAATTAGAAATAAATCAGCTCAACGCTGCTGAACATAGAAAATAGTATGAAATTACAGAGGTTCAGAACAGGTTTTGGAGCAGTATAAAGTCCTCAGTGGAAGTTCAATTAGTTTGTATGCTTGTCCATAACTGCATAAGAGAGAATTTGAAGCTTCCAAATAAGAGTTGAAATTTCATTACAGTCATGGACTAATTAAAATAGTACTGAAGGAAATGCTGAAGGAAATATGTGACAACATGTTGAAATTGACAACTTCACTTCTCACAATGTTTGTATCTTGACATTAGCACTGTTTATATTCTAGTACTGTGCCCTTGTGGAATAATATACAATATAATATGAAAGGAACTCTATGCAGCCTTGTCTGTTCCAATTACGCTTAATTAAACATATCCTAAATTCTTTTCTGAAGTTACTGATCAATGAGTTATATCAGCCAATTTTATTTATAATGAGGCATGTTTTAACTGTGCCATTATACCCTTTCTTATTATTTCTAATTACAGCAGCATGTGCAACAATGAATAGGAACACATAGAAAGACAAATAAACAATTCAAATAAACCTACCCGCAACTAATTTTATATTTTCATAAGGAAAAGTAATAATTCCAAAAGGGTAAATAAAACACAGTCTCTCTCTCTCCCTCTCTCCCCCCTCCCCTCTCTCTCTCTCTCTCTCTCACACACACACACACACACACACACACGATATCATCAAATCACCACAAATGAGTTTGAATTGTTATAGCCTTGCAATATAATTGAAGGTGTTATTTACCCAAGGAGGAAGCCTGCATTCCATTTTCACTGCATTGCTGGCATTAAAATTGATGGGACAAGGTTGAGAACCAAAGAGTACTGTGTTTATACCATCTAAGCCTGAACCTGATAGAATCGCTGTAAGTCCTCCTAAAAATGTACAAGGCAGGAATGAATGAAATAATTTAAAAAATATAACCAAACCACTTCATATACACACACACAAACATATAATCCACGGCTATAAAAGGAGCACATTCTAGAGAATAAATACATTACAAAAACAAGAGATTTATCTTGTTTTTCTTCCACGGTCTTATATACATGGCTCAGAACTACAAATGTGATTTCCTAGAAAGAATAACAAACAAAAAGAGTCCTAGCATTTCAGTGCATTTGCTCATTTTTCAACTCACTCTGCCACTGACATAGAGTTAGAGATACACACACAATGCCTTTGAATGGCATTTTTTTATATATATAAAAGTGCTTATCAAAAGTAAGTATGATTCAGACATACCTATCTCTGAAGCTGTTGAAGGTTCAACAGAAGTCAATCTAGGTGTAATCTTCAGGAAGATACTACTTTCTCCACTGGCATTGACTGCAAATCCAAAAGGTCTTACCAATAATGTCACCTTATACAATCCAACTTGTAATACATTCATATGACAAAGGACATTAGTGTGGTTTGAAGTTAGGACTTTGCAAGTTAGGTTGTTTGCTTCTATGAGCAATGATTGATGGTCTGCAGTGAAGCCAGATCCTATAATGTGAATTATTATGTGTTCAGTATCATCTGAAAATTCAAAGAAAATAACATTTAATTTATTACATATTACTTTGAGTTATACCAATATAAGACATATAGATATTACATTACATTAAAATCAACATAAAATACAATACAATAAAATAGCAATAGCAATAGCACTTAAATTTATATACATTTATAAATTTATATCCTATAGTGCTTTACAGCATTCTCTGGGTGATTTACAATGTCAGCCCTCAACAATCTGGGTTGTGACTTTTGGCTGACGTTGCGACGATATCGGATGTGAGGGTCAGGTTTCCACACTCCCACACCAAGTTCTCCACATTAGAAGGCTCCAAAAGGAGCTAAAACCACCCTGGAGTAGTGGTGAAGAAAAAAAGGGGTACCCTGCAGGTCACGGAGAGTTGCAATCTCTCCCGCTTGTTCCAGGGGTTTTTTTCCCTGCTCCTTCACAACGAGGAGAAGATGCAGCCAGAAATGGCTGCCATGAAGCTGGGATAGCCAAGGCAACAAAGAAAACCCAGGAGCAGTGTAAAAGAACAGTGAATGGAACTGGGTGAGATGACTCCTTTTTTACTCAAAATCTAACCCTAAAAAGAAAAGAGGGGAAAAATCTGAAAAAGACTCTTAACTATTTATTAAAGCGGTGAATAATCACATAGAAAAAAACTACAGACCCAAAAGAAAAGAACTAAGAGAGGAAAAGTTAAAAATTTCAAAGCACCGAAAATTGGATGACTAAATTGGGTAGGTATTATTTTGGAAAGGCATTTCATAATGCTGCTATCTACTATCTATCTACTTTAATATTTTAATAATTTGCACCACTTAGGTGACCCTGATGACACATATAAACCTCCAGGTAACCTTAATAACTCGCTAAAAGAATGCAAATGACCAGCTGTCTGCAAGGAGTATAAAACTTCCATTCCCCACCATCCAGTCAGAGTTGAAGCTTCTTGGATAAGAAGCGAAACATCTTCAAATAAAAAACAGAAAGTTCCGTCGCCTCTTGAAAAAGCACCTTAGGGACCCCCAAGAGTTGGGAGAATTTGTTAAGCCCCAAGAAAAAGCTTTTGGTTCCCATTCATTGAGGTCATCTTCAGTCATGCTTCTCAGCCAGTGACTTGGCCAGTGACTGCATATATTAATTTCCTAAAGACTAGCAAGGTTCAGATTTTATCATTCAGTCATTAATTTCATGAAAAAGTTAGAGATCTTTTGTGCTACTTCTTCACTTTCCCCCTGAAATGAGGAAAATTCCTATAAACCTTCATGATAATAATAGTATATCCATTTGAAGAAGCATTACCTGATGAATAGTCAATGCTACTGACTAAAGGAGTCATTTCCCTGAGATACTGAAAAGTGCATGAGCCAGAACAATTTGCTGGAATGTCATTCACTGTAACTACAACCTGGATTGACAGAAAATAGTATTAATGAAATAAAGAATAAAACAACTGAGACCTACTGAACAGTTCAGAATATTAAGAATAATCAAAACCCAAAAAATGACAATACTCATTGGTTTTAAAACTTGTAATATAAGTAATCAGTTTTGACTGTGAACTAAAAAATTAATATTTTAATGACGAAAGAAAAATATTCAACACAGAACACAACTATGAGCAAAATCTAGTACAGAATTCCAAACTGATGTAGGAAAGGAAGATTTTGACAAGACTAGGAGGTGGCCTATCTGAAATGAATGTGGCAGTCAAATGTTTTCAAGGGCCTTCTGAGTCTTTTGAATATGTCGCAAGCCCATTGGCCTTCTTTCAATTTAGCAATCCTCACAGGCTTGTTTCAACTTCTAAACATTTCAAATCAGGGCTTGCATTAAACAGGTTCTAGGATTGTAGCTGTTTCTGTTACAAACTTTATTATATACAAACTCACCTAGATTGGGACTAGACCATAAAGGGAAGAAGAGTATAATTCACAGAAGTTCCCTTAATACCTGATAGACCCTTGAGTAAATGGAAGACAGGAGGCAATCTGGGTCAAATCTATAACATTTGGGCTAAAGATCAAGTCTTTCATGTCCATTTATTTTAATCTTTTTTCCTCTTTTTTTGTGTGTTGGGGACTTGCAAACTTTATCTTACCTCTAGAGAGTTCGATAGAGATGGTTAGAAAAATCTAACTTGAACTGGAATGAAAAGAAACTAATTTTGGCTAACCTCTTAGTAGATACACCAATATTCTTTTAAGATTTCATTAGCACCCAACACCACCATGTTTCAATAAACCATGTAAATAATCAGGTAATTTCCTTTCCAATAGAGCAGGGCTGTCAAAATCCCAGCCTGTGGGCTAGACGCATCACACACTGGCCATGCCCACGCCTGGTTTAGCAAAGGGGAAAGAAGTCCCAATACATCATGTGATGCCACCGTGACAACATGAGTTTACACCCTTGCAATAGAGGGCCAAATGGTTTCTGTTGATTACCACCACCAATTTAAGGACATACATAGCTCTTTCTTGACCTAACTAGTTTCTCCAAGTTTAGATGAGATTTTGTTGACTTTCTCTCAAAAGATTTTTGTTGACTTTCTCTCAATTCAGTTGGATCCAAAAGAAAAGAATCCAGATGGAGAAAACATAAAATTCAAATACTGAGGTAAATTAACCACAGCATTGCTTTAATAACTATTTTTAAAATAGATTACAAATTACCTCAGTGACAGTAAAAAGAAAATGAAAATGTTCGATCTATTCAATTATGCCAATAAACAGGTCTCATCTATGACTTTCTAAATCAATCTTTCGCCTCATTTGAGTTCTTTCCAGCAGATGGCAATTGCTCAGATTTCTGGCATTTGACTTCTACATCAACTGGAGAGGACCCAGTTGAGATCGTGTTCTACAGAAAATAATCACTGGAGAGTAGCGTAATAATCAAACTTTTATTTAAATAGATGTACTCTCATTGTTTAGTATCTATTTTGTTCCTGCTTGTACTTCATATGGATTATTTCAGGAGGAATAATAAGATAAAAATATAAACATCATTATCATCTTCCACACGCATTAGGGACTTGTGGGAATTTGAAATTGCCTGTATGTGGGAATCTGTCATTTGATGTCTCTTTTTCTTCATTCCACTGAAGTGACTGGAGTGAAATGAAGATCCTTTCCCTTCATCCCATATTCTTATAATGAAACAGGCAGGAATTTTTTTTTAATTCTTCCTACATACATGTACATATAAATTCCTTTCAAGAAGACATGTGAATTTCATACCTGTGTAAAGTTATTGGGGGTAGCAAGCATATCTCCAAATATGGGATCAATGAAAACTCCACCATCAAATACTACATAGCTTATTATTGCTGGGTTAAGACCAGTGAGATTTTCATCAGAGACCTTGGAAGAAATAATTACATTTTCTTATTTCAGTAACATGGTAGTGTTTATAATTTCTTAGAATGTTTATTTTTAATGTTTTAATGTTTATAATTTATTTTCATACAGGAATCTCCTGATGTCTGATTCTGGCTATTTGCTGTTGCAGACTAAATTACTATAATTAATTTAGTTGTATACGCACATGGCACGTATGTGTTAATTCCTTACCTTTTCATTGGACATTGTATCTGTGATATTTTTTTTATTCTTTCACAATAAATTCAATCACTCCTCCCCCAAACATCAAAATACCAGGAAAGTATATAATAAAGATACCAGGGAAGAAGAGCAGTGCATAGTAAATAATTTTTCTTTTTAAATTTCCTCTCCTATCACAGGACAAACCATGTCCCTCATTGTTGCCAAGATAATATGGTCATATTCATGAAGATGTCAGGTCTCAAAGTGAACTAGAGGCAGTCTTTACTTTGATTTTCCAAGCCTACCTACTTTGTGATTCCACCCAACTATCTCCAAATCTAGCTACATTGTTGTTGTCTTCTCCTTAAAACATATTTTTGTATTCTTTGGATATAGTAGTAATTTCACAACTGCTACTATCTTCAGTACTTAATTTACAAGCAATTCTTTACCAGACAAAATCAAAGGTGACCTCATATCAAGTCAGTTCTTAGTGACTTCATAGACACAAACATGCAGTAGAATGGCTATGGTTTGCCATTGAGGTTTTGATATCCCAGTATAGATCTAGAATGCCATGGGAGTCTCCTATCCAAGTACTACCCAGACTTGACCCTGCTTAGTTTCTGACATTAGGTGCTGCCACCTGCTGAGACAATGTTGTAGAATTTACTGTATATACAGTAAATTTATTTAACATCTTATGCCATATCAGTCTATTCCAACCAAGTGCCCTCCGTTTACATTGGCACTGCAATTACCAGAATTTCCAGGTTTGGGGATTCATTGAAGATTAATATATCTTAGAATGTGAATTTCTCCATGGCAAAAACAATTCCTGGAGTTTTGTAGATACATTCATGAAAAATTACTTTTTATAGAAGAGAAAATGGCTGAGCCAGGAGTCATTGTCAAATGAGGAATAAGTCTGGAATTCTTATGTGGGCACAAGAAGGCAAAGTGAGATACACACACACACACACACACCAAATGTCCTGTTCAATCTTATCTAGTCTTACTCATGTGCAAACTGCCAAACTGAAACGATTCCTGTATATAGACTTGAGCAATAAAATGTCTGATTGAATTCTGACACATGTAGATCTGATTGTTCATGCCTGAAATTTATTACTTGTTACTAAAAAATCCTGATTGCTGTTCTTTACAAAAAGGGAGGGAGAGAGCGAGGGAGCGAGGAAAAGATGTGGACATATGCATTACCCAACCTATCCATTAATAACAAGCCACAAATACCTGATGGAATTACATAACTGAATATAACTTGATTTTTACTTTGTATTTTATATTTTAATTGCTGTGAGCTTGGATACAGTATCTAGATGTAAAGTGGGCAACAATTTCGTATAATGGTTAAGGTTTAAGAGTAAGACTAGATTTGGGAATATGGTTCAATTCCACTTTTAACCATAAAAGCTCATTGGATGATTTGTAGTCAGTCCATGTATATTCTTAGGTCTGGGTTTTTTTTTTTTAAATGACAGTGTTGTACCATCATACAATATGCTATCCTCCTTTTGAACATTGATGTGATGTCACAATGCAGGAAGCAGAAGTTCTATCATGACACTGTATCACTGCTTCCATTAGACTAAATGGTTTGATACCAGCTCATCTGTGAATACCTCTGAGTTAGTTATATCCCAATCTATGTTATAGATTGATCAATGTGAAGATAAGATGAAAGAGTTATAAGCATCACCATGAGCTCCTGAAAAAAAATGTTGGAAGTCTGTTGGATGCAGTGAGGTGGTCTTTCAATTCATTTCCTCATGTGCCTACTAAAATGATGTTCCTATCAAGCAGAGAGGTCCGAGTTAAATAGGCTGGAAAAGAGTTGCATCAAATAACTGAATGACTCAATAGGCTTTGGCTGTGGGATCAAAATTCTAGGTATGTTGGAGCTCATTGTGGAATTCCAGATGTAGTAAACAGCAAAATTGAAAGGATGAAGAACAATGACAAATAAATCAACCAGGGAAGCAAGAAAGACTTAGGGCTAGACTGCATCTATGAGAAGATATTGTGAATTAACAAATGTTAACTTAAAACATTCTGAATAAAATAGGTTAAACAATTGGTCTTACCCTGATAAAATTGGGCAAATCACCAATCAGTGAAGTCCAGCTCAGTGTCCATATACTTTGATAAGAGTTGTGTGAAATCTTAGATACAAAGAAGTCACTGGCATTTATGTACTGAGCTGTAAAATTATCACTGAAATTTTGAAGAAGGCTGTGGAGTTGATTGGCAGAGATGGACACTGGGTTTCCTGGAAGAAAATGGAAAAATAGTAAAATAAATAAAGTTGCAGATTAAAATCTGGTTTTAATCTCCAGGCTGAACTGTAATTCCTAATATGATGCAAATGGCATGAGTGACATACGTATAGTATTTGGGGTTATTTGCACAAAGAAATGATGTATGTGATATGTGATATCATCATGATCAATTCTAATTATCATGACCAATTGTAAATTTCAAGAATTAATCATGGCCCCTTACCATACAGTATGCATTGGCAAAATGTTGATGGCAAGCCTAGATTCAAAGTTTTCGTTTTGTCTGGCTTAACATGCTGAAAATAATTAAAACAATCTAATACTGCAGACCAGGGGTGAAATCGAGCAGGTTCTGACAGCTTCTGGAGAACTGATAGCGGAAATTTTGAGCAGTTCAGAGAACCGGCAGCAGAAATTTTGAGTAGTTCAGAGAACCGGCAAATAGCACCTCTGGCTGGCCCCAGAGTGGGGTGGGAATGGGGATTTTGCAGTATCCTTCCCCTGGAGTGGGGTGGGAATGGAGATTTTGCAGTATCCTTCCCCTGCCACGTCCACCACGCCACACCCACAGAACCAGTAGTAAAAAAAATTTCACCACTGCTGCAGACTCTATGGTTTGCTTTTCAAAATCAGCAGTAAATCCCTTAGCAATGTGGTGATTTGCTGTCAAATGTTGGTAATAAGTTTTTTCAGGGCCTTGGCAGTAAGAAAAATTGAATTTAATGAATTTTCAGTTGGCCAATCCTACCTTAAATCACATCCACACTAGCTGGTTGCCCCATCAGGAGTATAGGCTAGGCTATCAACCATGTTAGTACTATTTTTCTTTCTCTGCATTACCTACCTTTCCCCTGGACTACTGCTATCAGCCCCTCAAGCTGCATTTCGTTCAGGGCTGACATAGAGAAGAAGGGGGAGCATCTGGCAAGAGACCGTTTGACACTTCACCCAGTTAATTCCCTGGAGAGATTATTCCCTAGGAGATGAGATGGGGGGGGGGATTCCTGTGAGCTTAGCTAGTAGATAGGAGTAGAATTACTTGGAAGATGGCCAATCAAAACAGGAGAGCAAGCCAGGAAGGGAAGGGTATTGGAACAGGAACTCATTGCTGGCTACAATGAGTTTTGGAACAGAATGTCGTACTAATAAATGAATGGGTTTTCATAAAGAACTTGACTGAAATGCTATTTATTTTGAGACGACTTCGAACCTTGACAACTGCATCATTTCATTGTTTTTCCAGACACCCCATCTCCCCATAGTCAACATGAATAAATACATAGCATTAGGTGACAGGAAAAATTAGAGGTTTCCATATCTCTTTGTGCCATCTGATAATTATCCAGATATTTAAAGTCCAGAGTGATCGCCTTAAGATATAATTCATCAATTATAATACTAAGGTATATGAATTTTAGCTTGTTCTGCTGTATTTTTCTATGATTACACATTTTAATCAACAATACTTTAGAACATGGTTATTCAACCTTTTGGCTCGCCTGGGCAGCATTGAGTGAAGAGGAATTGTCTTAAGCCACATATAAAATATATAATATAGTTTATAATATAAAATCACATAATAATGTTAAAGGTTAACAATCTTGTGAGTCTGCAGTATTAGCTGTCTAGGCAGGGGTGAAATCCAGCAGGTTCTGACAGGTTCTGGAGAACCGGTAGTGGAAATTTTGAGCAGTTCGGAGAACCGGCAAATACCACCTCTGGCTGGCCCCAGAGTGGGGTGGGAATTGAGATTTTGCAATATCCTTCCCACAGGAGTGGGGAGGAAATGGGGATTTTGCAGTATCCTTCCCCTGCCACGCCCACCAAGCCACACCCTGCCATGCTCACAGAACCGGTAGTAAAAAAAATTGGATTTCTCCACTGTGTCCAGGGCTGCATGTAGTCTATGGGCCATAGGTTGGACACGGCTGCCTTAGAGTAATCACTGCGTGTCTACAATGCTTTCTTCCTTAGCTAGTTTTTTTTATTTTTGGTCATAGCTTTAATATCTGGAATTTATTAAAGACCAAGAATTCTGGGCTTATTGTGCATGAAAAATAGCCAAAATAATTCTTATACAACATTTAAGAGGTAAATCTACATCAGATTTATAGCATATTTATTTTATTTTTTATGATCAAGTTTACCTGGAATCACCATGTCAGGCAGATGAATTTGAAAAGTTCCTCCAAGAGGTGGGCTTGCACCTTGTATCCTTTGGACTGCCAAATTGATTCCTGTCTCATTCATAGACATTAACAATTGATCAGTCCCTTCAGGTCCCTCCAAAGGCATACCTCCGCTACATGAAAATAAATAAATAAATAAACAAAGGCAAGTTTTACAATACCATTCCTGTCTCAGAACGGGGCTACTTCAAATGCAGCTCTAGAATATTTGTTTATATGTGTCCCTTTCCAACCAGAAATCAGCAGGAAATCCATAAAGAAGGCACAATGTAATACGATTGTTGCTTTTTTTCCCTCATGTTTCCCAATAAGCGACATTTGGAGACATGGTGCCTCTAATCTTCCACTATGTGTAGAGGAAAACTTCTGGAATGACAGAGGCATTTGTTACAAAACAACCAGAAGTCTTTTATTAAGCACTTTGAATAAAATAACAAGGGCCTGGTGGCTCAGCAGTCTAATAGCAGTGTGATTAACACCAGCTGTCTGCAATTACTGTAAGTTTGAATCTCACCAGGCTCAAGGTTGACTCAGCCTTCCATCCTTTCTAAGGTAGGTAAATTGAGGACCCAGTTTGTGGGGGCAATAAGCTGACTTTGTATAAATATACCGTACAAAAGTATGAAGGCTATTGCTTAACGCATTGTAAGCCGCCCTGAGTCTCCGGAGAAGGGTGGCATATAAATCAATTTTTTAAAAAAATAATAAAAAAAAATAAAGAAAACAGAGAAAAATTTAATAGGGATCCTTAAATAAATAATAGGTTTAATTACACATAGCTCAAACTTAATTTTTTTAAGCTTTTGTTATAGACAATTCAAATTGCTTTTCATACGTCTTATGCAAAAATAATTTTCAAATCTCATTCCAAAAAAAGGTTACAGATCCAACATAAATTTTCATTAATATAATTCATATGCAATTAGAAATACATCATAAGAAAAATAAATTAGAAAATATTTATATTCCTACTAACACAGAAAAATACCAGTGATTAAATAAAAAAACCTACAAAGGCATAAAAGTCAATAAGCAAATTATATATTTATTATTCCTAATTCTTCACATTTACAAAAAATAATTAAACGTTTCAATTCATCCATAGGACCCATCAATCAGCTGTGAAAACCTCAGCAACCACTGGATGGCAGTAGGAAAAGACATAAGACATCGAAATTCAAAGCTTTTACAGAAGCATGCTTCAAAGTTTAGATTTTGGGAGACAGTTGAAGAGTGCATGACAAGTGCTGATTTAAGATATAATGTGGATAGTTACACTTCTAGGAAGACTTCTAGGAAAAACCTAATTTATTGACTGTGTTCAATTACATGTTTGCCATAAAGTCAATTTCCTTAGAACCCTGGATATACTTATAAACTAAGCACATGGGAAAACTTCATCCAGCATGATTAATTAGTTTCTGTGCCAGTATAAAGTGTAAATAAAGGCATCAAATGACTGCCACATACAGGCTGAATATCATCCAGTGATTCTGTGAAATTCTTGTGGAGATTACTAGCTTGTTTATCTTTTCTAAACCTACTACATTCATTTTCAAAACTAATCCAAAGTGTCAAATAAAATTAACACATAAATCTCAGTGTTTTTTCAAATCTAAAGGGTCCCTTTAAAAAAATTCAGTCCATACATTTTATTAATAGTTTAAATTAAGATAACACTGTGGTCTTGGTTATTATATAAGTATACCTTTGTTTTGAATGACTTTCTAAGATTGTTTTAGTCTAGTATTTAAATTTAAATTGCATGCAAGATTTCTGCTAGAGCTGATTTGAAAAAAAAATAAAGTTTCAAGATTTTCTCTCTTTTTCTCTCTCCCACACACTTACTCAAGATTCAACATTTCTTCTTAATCTTGTATACCAAATTATCCCACCCTACCCATTACCCAATTTAATTCCATCCAATGAAAAATGCATGTATCCTTATTTCTATTAAAGCTTTCCTGCCTGGGCTGCATCAATCTGGATAAGTTTCAAATATCTCTTGGCTGCAATCTAGGGACTGTCTAGATTTTTTTCAATCCATATGGGATGCTATTTAAAGCCTTTCATAGGCATGCAATTCGCTTAAGTGCCATTCTTTACATGAATCTAATCACAACACAAACATGCCCCAGCAATCTCCATTTTCTGCTCTTTTTTACAATATTGCCTTAACCTGATCCCAGATTATCCCCAAGGCAACCTTAAATCATCCTTGGCTGTTCCAGTGTTAGGGTTTTCCCTGTTATTCCAACACACTTTAAACTGAAGTACCAATTTACCATCTATCAAAACTTGCCTCCTCTTCCCAATCCCAGCCCAATGAACAAGATTATATTGATTAATGTCTTTCTACCAGCTAATATAATGGGGGAACAAATCCAGGGGACTTCACCAATCGCTTTCTTTAACTTGTCCTCAGACAGAAAATAAGGATTCAATCATTTGGCGTCATCTTTCCTGTGGCAGGATAAGGAGAGGGAATAGCAAAAATAACACTGGAACATCTTTCTGAAGAGGAGCATGAAAACTGAATTTAGGAAAAGTCCTAACTGGGTTTCTTGACTTGCTCTGAAAGTCCCTGAAATAAAGATGTTTTACCATATAGTTGGCCTACTTTACACATCTCAACTATTTTTAAAGTCCTATCTGGCTTTCTCTGATTCGAAGGAAGGAAGGAAGGAAGGAAGGAAGGAAGGAAGGAAGGAAGGAAATCAAAGCATAAATGTGTGTGAACCTTTATTCTTACCTGAGTGAGAGAAGAGGAAGGTTCTTGTGATAATTTGCTACAAAAAAAGATACATTAAATACAGGTGGGATGCCAGCAACCAAGACAGATTCTATGAGGTTCCCACGTGGGCGAGATGACCAGGGTTCCTTCTGAAAAACTGGAAAGAAAAACAGTTTTGGGATAATATTGCTATAAAAGACAAGACTTACCACTTGCCAAACTCAATATGCATATAGCATAGATTCTTAAAATAAAAGTAATTGCATTGTAATTTATATCAAAACTTCTCTCTACCACTGAAATAAATATCTCTCTAGGAATTTCAACTTGCTCTTCAAAAATTTCACAACGTTAAGGGAAATGCTCAGATAAATAAGAAGCCTTTACTGCCAATATGAACTAGCCCTAGAAACAACAAAGAACAGATTCTGCGGAATCTAAGAATTTTACTTATATATGTATGTGTAGCCCTGAGTTTAAATCCTTGGTTTCTTAGATAATCAGTGTCTCAGATTGGGATATTGATGATATCTGCATAAGGTTTATGAACCAACTTTGCTTGTTCTAGCTCTTTGCTTCCTTCCCATCTTTCCAGATTGCGTTTCCCACTAACTGGATCCAGAATCTACAACTGAAATGTTTCTCAAATGTTCAATAATTATCAATAACTGTAATTCTATCAAACACTTATTTTTTGATTAAAAAATATTGCTCTTGCCCCTTGAAATTCATTCATATTTTACTCTTATATTATCAAAAGCAAAGCAAAGAAAAAAAGCAAAATATCAGATTACCAAATACATCTTGATCTGAAACAATGATCTCATCAATGAAAAACCAGGCATATGTCTCTGTTGCAGCAGCAGGAGCTTCTACATCAATCTGGTGCAAAAACACTGAAGAATTTTTGGGAAGATCATTAAGGAATTCAGAATTATACAGACAGTCTCTCCAAAGGTTGATGCATATGAATTTCCAGCTGAAAGAGAAATATATTTTTGCATTCATCACCTCAATTTATATTAAATGTCTACTTAAAAGGAAATTTACTTTTAAAGGAATTTGAATGACAGGACTATTTTTATAACTGCCAGGAAAGCAGAAATAAATATACATTATGTATATGCCCCCCCACCAAAGATCACAGATGTTTAGAAATATCAGTATCACATTTTACATAGTATTCAGAAAACGCAAGTAGACATTTTTCTTAACAGTCCTGCATATTTGATTCCATGTTCAGATTTTACTATGGGCAACATCTTAAAAGAAGTACACTTGACTTTGATAATTCCCAATCAAGTTGGGAATATTCCTGTGAATTTCCTAAACCAGTTTTCAAATTGTGTTCTGTGGCACCATATATTTCCATGAGAATTTGATGGGGTCCATGAGAGAATAAGGCCAAACAAGCAAACAAAGACAAGTTCACTCAAAGGCTCTCATCAGAGCTCTGTCTCTTGATCAGAATTCTGGAATTGCTTTTCTTCTTTTTTAACAGGTTCCATGACCTGAAAAAGTTTGAAACCCCCTGCCCTACAAAATGACTCTGCCAAATCAAAGTCATATACTCATTGAATGAAACTAGAGGTTTATGGTTAGGTCTCTATTCTTGAACATAAGAATAGTTTTCCAGATATAGCTGAAATGTAATTCTCAGCTACCTGAGCATAGTCAAATGGGGGAAGGATATTTAGACCTGTATCCCAGAAATATCTGGAAATCAAAAGCATCAAAAGAAGTGATTTTGATTCCTATTCATTAAGTACTTGTCCCATTGCCTATATGTCAGAAGCATACATATTGCAGTTAATTATATTAAAAAGAAAGGGACTGTGCATAAAATGAATGTTTATAGATATAGACCTTTCTGGACTGGATTTCAGATTCCATGGGCAAGTCACATGTTTCTTCACAGTATCTAATAAGGTATTGGAATAAGACACTGCAATGGAGAGGGTATTGCTCATGTAGCCTTTGTATGCAAAGCACAACTGTAAAGAAGGGAAAGAACAAAATTCCTCCTTAAATGATTTGTTTCTAGTATGGCTGCCAATAATACAGAACAACACATTTCTATACTCAGGTTTCTTTTGAACAACGTGCTATCCTAAAACATCTGCCCCACATACACAAGTGTATTACACTTGCCCACCTTGTGTCCCTTACGATGCTTGCACGGATCAAGGCCAAATGAGGCCAAATGAGATTTCCTGTTCCTGATATTGATTATGCCTATCACCAAAGTCATCCTATCGATTCAATATTTAGTCCTTTCACTCCTTGAAATTTCTTGGAAAAACATTACTCACGTGTGTGTATGTAGTGACATCATAAGGAGGGATTAATTGAGATGTTTTGATAAGACTTTTTGGCCTGAGATTGCTGAATCTTCCACAAAAGGGTTCTGTCCAACTGACAAGGACTCCACCATTGACTGGATTCTCAGTATCTATGGCAGATGTGGGGAAAGTAAGGAAAAATTATATGCAAAGTAAGTCCTAGAGTCCTAGACAAACCTGAGTGCAAGACTAACCTTAATAACCCAGTGCTATGAGTGGCAGTCTCAGTTCTGCAAAACAGCATTAATGCCAAAATTCAGTTGCAGCATGTAAAGACTTGCACATAACAAATTTAGTGAAAGAGGGTTCAGGTTAAGCATATAAATTAGAACATTACCCATAATATGTGATACACATTATGCAACCCAAGTGTAGGATGCATAACTAGGTGATTAATAGGAAACCACATGCTGGTTTTGCAGCATTCAAGACCACAAGACAAGCAGGGAGAGAAGAGACATTGTGCAAAAAGTAAGCTAACCTATGTAGCCACATTGCACTTAATCTACTCTAATTGTAGCCTTTGTGACCAATTTTTATAGATTTTTTTTGGTAAACTACCCTCAGAGAGATAGCACATTTTATTCATTTTAAATAAATGAAATAAACAAATAAAATAACCTTTCATTCAATAATATAATGTATTCTTTCTTTATTTCATTTCTGACCAGTATTGTGTGAGTGTGTGTGTATATGCATTTGCGCACGTTTAGTTTTTGGAGAAGGTCTGCAGATGTTCCTTATCTTTTTTTACAGTAGCTAATTTTTTTTTTCTGAAATAAAAGTCTTTCAAACTGAAAATGACAAGCTTACTTTGCTCAAACCTTGCTTGCAAAAAAATATTAGCAGATGATGGCTCTATTTCACATTTTACTGAAAGAAGTTCCTCCAGTTCATGCTGCATCTGAAAAATAATTTTTTTTCTTAAAAAAAGTGCAGAGTTCCAAAACCAACCAGGACCCAAATGTAAGACATTTGGCTATCTAAAGCCAAACAACTAATGCTTTTCCCCACTATAAGTCTAGCTGCATTGTACCAAAAATAAGAGAAATTATTCTGATACCTGAAGCAGATTTTATACATACTGTGTGTACAAAGATATGTGCAGTTTTTAATAACATTAATATTTTTGAAATCATTTACAGTGATCAAGAGTATTTATTAATTTAGCTTGAATTATCATTCCATGTCAGAATTTAGTCTTTGAGTACATAACATTTCAAATCCACTTCTCAAGATAGAAGCTGTGGTTCCTTACTCCTTAAATGTCATGCTTCTGGGGTACCTCAACTAACCATAAAATGTCATTATAGATTTTACACCTATTTATCACTATGATCAACTTTTATGTTCGGATATCTTCCTAATTTTTCCTAATGTGTGATCTCTGCTTATAAAGTGCAGTAATAGTTTTAGATGTTGAAGCTACTGTTGTACCAATCACTGCTACCATCCCAATTCTACACATTGCAATTATTAATAATTATTTTATATTCAGGAGTCTGTACTTGATCAGCAGTAACATTTGTTGACATGGGATTGCTGGTCACATTGTCCCAAGCAAGACTGAACCATCCTTTGCCAGACAATATCAGCATCTATAAAGCAAAAAGATTAAGTGTGGCTTACAAAGTATATTTATTTCTTCTGAATAAAAATGAAAACAGTACTTTTTAACAACTTGGGATCCTTCATTCTCTCCTTAACCACATATTGAATGTAATATGTAATTCAGAAGAGTTTTGAATTTGATAAGCTCGAGTCCCAGTTTAATGTATAGTTTCAAAGCAGCGAAATTTCTGCAAATAATTTCATTTGGGGAGGAGGGAATTAAGGAACTCATGAAGTCATCCTGCAAAATGTTTGAGAATCCCTGAATTTGTTGTTTACTATTTTGTAATAATCCTAGCATCAAAACATCCATAAAATTATTGTAAGGTGCCGACAGCTGCCTCTAGACCAGATGGGTGGCATATAAATTTGATAAATAAATAAGTAATAAACAAAACCTTTACTCTCTTTGGTCAGCTAACCATAAGTTAGGTTTCCTTGCATCCCTTCACAGGGATAAAAGGGAACAGCCTATTTCTCAATTGCTAAGAATGATCCAACATTCAACTGGTGATAAATTTATTAATGGGTGAAGAAATAAATATGGCTCAGGCCTACCAGCAGTCACATGTAGAACACATGGGCAGAATACAAGCAGAAAAAAAGATGAAGTCTGGTGGCACCTATGTTATGGTGGAAACTTTAATGGCCTAAAGTTTACATATAAATACACTGAGATGGCCAAGATAATATAAGCCTTTTTACTGCCATTTATGAAAATCTGGTATCGAAACCTGATTTAACATAGTTACAATAAAGGTTCCTGACTTTTTTTTTAAAAAAAAAAGTTTTAATAAATCAGAATAAATAAAATAATAAAAAAAGAAAAAAGACAAAGACAAAGACACACACAGAGAAACACACACCACATTTTATAGCAATCATTCACGCAATCTGTGACTTTTATGCAACTTGTTGAAACAGTGGGGCTTCAATTCACAATTTCAACTAGAAAATAAAATTCAAGTAACAACATTAGTTCATTGTTTTATCAATTCAGTTGACAACTGTTATAGGGAAAAGTGTGCAGAAGAAGCAAAAATTTCAAATTCAGATTATATTCTGGAATTTACCTGTATCTCTGGAAGCTGGATAGCACTGGCTTGTATTCTGTATCTCTCTCTGCGATAAGTACCAACCACATCAGGGTTCAGCCAGGTATTGTGCAACTGAAATCCCATGCTCATTCCATTGTTTGGGGATATCCCATGATGCACAGCTTCCACATAGTACATTGTACCAGCAATTAGCTCATATTTCTCTGATTTGGGCTTCCTAGGATGAAACCAATCTTCTTCCCAAAGTGCTGACCAATCAGTGGTGCCAGTAGGAATTGATACAACTTCCACCTGTTGACCAAAAAAAATGAAAACAGTAAAATGGCTGGCTCAGGAATTCTGAGAGTTGAAGTCCACAAGTCATAAAGAATATTTGATTCAAAAAGCAAGGGAAAATAAAATGATTTTTTCAAAATTATAGATCCAAGTATCAAGCATGAAAGCAGGAACATTAATTGAGTTTAAAGGACAGATTTTATTATTTATTACCTCTAATACAAGAATCTAGTCAACTAATGCAGGTAAAGGTAAATAGATGCTAGATAAATGTCAACAGAATTCACAGGGGGGTGAGGGGTTGGTTATTGTGAAAAATGCAATGACTCCAAACTGAAGACTTATTTAACCCACCTTCCAACTCAGCTTCTTATCCTACATCTGGTGATAGTAACAAGGCAATCTATTGTATATAATCAGGGAGAAAACTCCACTCACTAGCACTGATAATGTTGGGTAATGAAATGTCTGCAAGCAAGTAACCAAGCTCAGAGATTATTCCACAGTTCCAAAGATAATTTATTATTAGACTCTATATCAAATGGATTATAATAGAATTGAAGCTGGTCAGTAGCTACTATTTGCTTCATATCTGAAGTAGCAGTTTCAACATTTCTACTTTTCCTGATTGAGTATCACAGATTTTGGTTTCGGAAACTCCACACTGAATGCTTTTCCTACCACCTTTCATAAGAGGTGCCAAAAAGACTGGTGGCAAGGTTTTGGCATGTTTAGGAGCCATCATCAGTGGTGGGTTCCAACTGGTGTTACCACTGGTTCTCTTCGCGCATGCATGCCGAACTTGCGCTCTGCGCAAGCACGTTGGGTTTCTACCCAGTTGAGGTGCGGCAATCTACTCTGCTGTGCCTATCAGCTGGGCTAAAAACCAAGAAATAAAGGTAGGAATAACGCGGGGGCGGGCGGAAGGGCCCAGCTCCCAGTCACAGAGAACTGGTTCGGTGACGTCACATCGTGACCACTACCGGCTCAGCCGAACCGGGCCGAACCGGGCCGAACTGGGAGCAACCCACCACTGGCCATCATGCTTCTGAAGAAACATTCTTAAATTGAACAAATCAAATGGGTGAAGAAACAAGTCACTGTTCTGTCTAGAGAAACAGGGAGTTAAGCTGCAGTGAACAAATAGTAAATATCAAAAGGTTTAGCTCTGAACATCAAATGATTCAATTCATTCACAAATCAATTTAAATTCTGACTGGATGGTGGGGAATGGAAGGACATACTCCTTGCAGACAGCTGGTCATTTGCATTCTTTTAGCAATTGGTTAAGATCACTTGGAGGTTTATCTGAGTCATCAAGGTCACCTGAGTGGTGTAAATTGGTGTGGAGCCTTTTTAGAACTGTTGAAAGGACTCTGTTATAGACTGGAGAAAATGAGGACCCAGTTTGTTGCGGACAATGAGCTGACTCTGTAAACTACTTAGAGTGAGCTGTAAAAGCACTATGGTGTGGTATATAAGTCTAAGTGCTATTGCTATAAGAGATCATTTTTAATTTGATAAAGTCTCAAAACCAATATCACTGGATTTCTTTCCCTTTTCCCAGTATCTTTGCCTGTTACATTATAATGAAAACTAAGTCTGCATTTAGAAAAAACAAGGGTTCTATATTGTTCTGGAAATGAATGGAATATAAAAGATTAATATTTGTTATAACTTTCTGCTTTAAGGATTTAATGTTAACTAATAGCTTTTTTATGACTTCAAATAAATACTTTTGCTTTATCCAAATAAATCTATTGTTCGTATATTCAACAAAGATGTATTCAGAGTCCATTTGGCACATGGGTTTAAGCTGTAATCAAATAAGGCCATAATCCTGAAGTTATTATAATATCTGTTTCACAATTTTTTTGCATACTGAACAATGAGATACCAGGAAATAGTTTATACAGAAACAATTTCATTCCTCAAAAGACAAGAAAATATATTCAAATTGGGACCCAAATATTAAAAGGGATATTTTTCATCTAGTATTTCTTCTATAACGAACAGTTTAGTACCTAATAAAATATCCGAGATATCTGGGAAATACGATCTTTTTTATGTGCAGCTACTGTATCAGATCAGTATGAAGTAGTTTCTCTGAATGTGGCCAAATTCTGCTATGTTTTATGTAAAATTAGACAAACTGTTAATCCACCACAAATCATAATATATTATTCTGTCTTTTATCATTATTTTTGATTATTATTTCTGTTTTAATGCTTTTATTTGTGGTCCTGGTCCATGACCATAATAAAGATCGATTGACTGAAGCAGTTTGGAAAATCTACTAATTAAAATTGCAATATTTCTTGCATGCCTAGAATTATTTCTCATCACATCTCCATCATTCAATTTTTCTGTAACAACTTACAGAATAGAAAACAGGCATGCATGAGCTCTATTTATAATGAATAAAAATAATACCAATCCAATAAAATGCACTGATATAAGCTTCCAGGTTGAGAAAAGTTGATTCCAAAAGCAAAAGAAAATAAAATGACTTTTTCCAATTACAGTAAAAATCCTTAATTGCTCAGTATTTGACAGATTTCTGCCATAGTCAAGCCTCATGATTAGTTTAGCTGTGTAAATCAGTTACTTGTTTTTAACTGTAAGCCAGTCAATAAAATTAGCCTCTGTAGGAGAGGAATGCACAATTAAAAAAAAAAAGAGTGGGGGAAATTACAGACCAGTTACCGATAAGTTTACATCTGGATATATTTTTGAAGAAGGAGCAGTATAGATTCTGCCATGCTAAATTATATATTTATTTACCTCTTGTGAGCTAGAGGTGATATGCTTAAAAATCCAATTTTCTTGGATTTTCAAAAACTAAGTCTTCAGAAAAGACTCAGACATCATGGAATAATTTCCCCCCCCAACTAGTTAAAAACATAGATGATAAAAATAAATGGGCAATCAAGGATATATATTGAGATGAAAATTGTTAATCTATTTGTCAATGACATAGAGTTGGAGCATTCACTGAACTAGCCACATTTGTTGATAACATCAAACAAGATGGTGGCAGAAAAGTTGTTTCAAGTATAGCTTAATTCTTTTTGACTCCCCTGTACATATTCCTACATGGTAAAAACAAAAAGAAACAGAAAAAAATTTCCAAAAATGAATTTCCAAGTTGGGGATGGATGGATATTAAAGTAGTAAAGTCATTTCAATATAAGGAAGTCTGCAGTGATAGATATTGAAGTTGGAAGCCTAACTTTGCAAATACAGTATATACAATTTGCTAACATGTCTACATTAGTGATAAATAACAAAATAAATAATCATTTTGGTGGGTGACTAAATGAAAACATTGCACATTGTGAAAAAGGACATTTTTGAGGGCTGCAGGGCCTGAGTGAATAAACTAGCCTTCTTTATATTAGTTCCCACCTTATTTCTCCAGTCTTACTGCAATTCTGGTAACAGAATAAAACAGTTTTATTTCAATGTCCTTTTGGTTCCTGGTAACTGTGGCATAAATCTTGGCTTTATTTGAAATGTATCTTTTCTTTTTGTGTGTTGGTTTTTACATTATTGTTTATTGTTATTTGGGAAGATCATTGTTATTGATGATGGTGTTATATGCCACCATCAGTCCCTCGAGGCTGGAGAAATTTATCAGTACTGTAATATAAATGCATTAACAAACAAACAAATTCCAGGAAACATTAAGAAAAACAGGGAAAGTGGTGTAAAATAAAATTGCTAGTATAGCAATGTTTATATACAAAAACCTGTTGCAACTATAAGTGAAATAGAACAAAATTCTTTTAATCAGGGAATTATGGAGCTAAAAGACATGAGGAACAAGGCAACCCAAGTGATCAGAGAGAGAGAGAGAGAGAGAGAGAGAGAGAGAGAGAGAGAGAGAGAGAGAGAGAGAGAGAGAGAAAGAAAGAAAGATCATTTAGGAAAGCTAAGTAAGACATAGAAAGCAATTATTTGCTAGGTCTAATATTTTTAGCAGTGCTGGAGATCATCTCCAGAAGCAAAGCAGCTGGGGAAATGGAAAAATTCTCTTGTTCTCAGGCATGTAGTTGGTATTGTGAAAAATATGCTAGAAAAATAGGGCTGAGAACTTCTTTAAAATCCCCATGATATGCTATCACTACACATTTGTACATGCCCTGAAAGATTCTGCAAAGTACAACTAGTTACTGCATATACTTTCTCAAAGCAGGGAAAGAATACTGTACAGTCTCAGTTATGCATTTTGGAGCTTAAAAAAATAGAATGAAAAGTTAATAGGATGTTAGCCAAACAAGCAATCAATATTTTCTGTTTTGAGTCAAAAATGGTTCTGATATTTTGCAGCAAATCTGAGTTCTGAAGATATGTATCATTTGGAATATTTCCCTTTACAACACTTAACTAGACAGTGAGTCCCCCCCTCTCATGATTTCATATAAGTATCTCACAGTCAAGCATTATTAGGTAGCTTCCTGATCTATTGTTCTAACCAGCCAATCAGAGCCCCTAGAGCCAATCCCTCATTTGAATGGCTCCCATTATATAAGTGCACAGCTAGAATGAGATCACTATCATTTGTAAGGGGGCAAGTAAGCTGAACAGGAGGGGTAACAACCAGCAAAGTCATGGCTGCTTTCCAAAGAGGCAGGAAGGCCTACTTCCGGAGGAAGAGGAGGATGCGCCAAAGGAGATACCGAAAGTTCCTAAGTAGACGAAAGAAGCATAATTCTAGGCGAGGTAGGAAAACACGAACCAGACACATAATGAGATGTGCAAGGAGCGGTTATCGAAAGAGGCGTATGCCCGTGTCCCGATATCTGGACCGAAGAATCCGAGACAATGTGCTCTCAGCCCAAAAAGCCAAGCATTCAATGACTTCCTACAGGGGCAACATCTATCACAGGAAGCCCTTGAAGGTAGGTAGACCAAGAAAGAAGAAGCATTATAACCGTACGCGTTCAGCTTTTCTAAAAGCCAAATTGAAGAAGCAAAGAGCTAACAAAAAACGTGCCAAACATTCTGCTCTTGAGAAAAAAGCCAAGAGAAGAACACGTTATTCTGATGAGGAGGTTTTCTATAGTATGGCCAACGCTTCCATGCCAAAACCAGCATCAGAAGAAAGACCAATAAAGAAACACACTGTCCGCTTCACAACTCCTGGCAACACAAAGACCGAGCCCCAAGAGGACCCCTCCCTTGATAATCAATCAAGCCAGCAAACAATAACACCCAAAAAACGGGGCAGGCATTCAGCCACCCCTGTTTGCAAAAGCCGTTAATCTAGAAGAGCATCCCTCACTCTTCTCTGAATAACCGCCTGCAGGCCCCTGGAAAAGTAAGAGAGAAGAAGTAAGAGGAAAATAACATACCGGCCTGCCTTAAAGATCCAAGAGACCTTATAACTGACTTTTGATGTGAGACCACCTTCACCCCTACCAATCTGGAATAAAAATGAATTTGCTTTATCAACAGATTAGTTTGATTGAAGACTGAAAAAGGCATTTGGACAATTGCATGACAATCCACTGGAAACAAAAGAGAATCACTTAAGTAAACCTACTCCGCTTGAGAACATTTATTTCCTTAACAACGAGGAAGCCGATTTAATGAAAAAGCACAAAACTAGAGACTTGCCATAATTTGGTAAAAAAAGGATTGACGTACTGAAGGTGTGTTTTTCCTCTCCAAGGAACATCTTAAAATAGTAATAAAGCTGGATCTTTTGAAATATGTGTTGTGGAATTCCATCATTCCATCCAAGCATGTATGGACAAAATGGGAAAAAATATGGAGAATGGAGAAGTGATTATTCCTTCTCCTACTGCGCTGTATGGTGGCACAGTGGTTAGAATGCAGTATTGCAGGCTAGTTCTGCTGATTGCCAGGAGTTCGATCCTGATGGGCTCAAGGTTGACTCAGCCTTCCATCCTTCCGAGGTCGGTAAAATGAGAAACCATATTGTTGGGGGCAATATGCTGACTTTGTAAACTGCTTAGAGAGGGCTGTAAAGCACTATGGAACAGTATATAAGTCTAAGTGCTAGTGCTAGTGCTATTGCTATTTACAAATCAGCACCAGCCACTGATAAATAGCCTGGTGGTGCAGCAGACTAAAGCACTGTTATTAACAGCAGCTGCCTGCAATTACTGCAAGTTCAAATCTCACCAGCTCAAGGTTGACTCAGCCTTCCATCCTTTTTAAGGTAGGTAAAATGAGGACCCGGATTGTGGGGGCAATAAGCTGACTTTGTATAAATATACAAAAGTATGAAGGCTATTGTTTAATGCATTGTAAGCCGCCCTGAGTCTCCGGAGAAGGGAGGCATATAAATCAATTTTTTTAAAAAAAATAACTGCCTATTAATGTTAATTAGTTCCTGACAAGAGTTAGACAGATTTAGTCTCAGTCCCCAGGTACTAAAGCACCATTAAATAGTTTAAAACTATTTATTTAACGTATGGTATATCATACATGGACTAGCAATATAAACATTTCACTTAGTTTCCTTTGAATCACTTGATTCACTGGCAAGGACTGGAATGGGAGTGAGAATGACAACAGTCAATTGTAGACAATCATTTGATATAGTGAATGAAAATCGCTACAAACATCTAAAACAGTTGTGAACTCATCCAGTACAATATAGTATTGGTAACATAATTCCAATCAATTTATATTTAGCAGAGAGAACTCAAGCCTGCCAAAAATTCCATTCCATAAAAGGGAACCTCATCTTAAGAAATGGCGATATGCTATAAATAAATATAGCTTGGTTTCCAGATTATTATATATACATTCAACTCGGTTGCCGTTCTCTTTAGATAAGACCTATCAAAAGAATTGCTTATTTATTTCCTACCCACACATCTTGCACATAAATTATAGATCTGTCTCAGAACTCAGGTAAACTGCCCAATTTTTATTTGTTTTCCATATCTCCTGAAGTTATCCAATTCATTTTAAGTAGCTATATTTGGAAAGGTCCACAGTTAATTAAAAGAGAATCCTTTCATTTCAAGCAAATTTTTGGCTTTTGGTAAGGCCAAAGTTCAAATTCTCAAAAGTGGAATTCTATGGACAGTTAACCAAGGACAATATTTTAGCATGTTGGTTTTTGATAACAGTAGCTTGTCATATGTCATACCTTTTTTCTTGGCTCATCTGAGAGGCTTAGATATAAAGAAGCTTTGCCATCTGCCTGAATCCAAAATGTATAATTATTTGTCTCTGGTGCCACAAAAAAACCACGGAGTCGTGCACTGGATAGCAAAAACAAAGATATTCAACTACTTAATATCAAACAAGATTCTTCTGTTGAGTCTAAGAGAATTCTGATTTGAATTAGTTAATTTATTTATTTATTTATTTATTTATTTATTTATTTATTATATTTCTATACCGCCTTTCTCCCGTAGGACTCAAGGCGGTGTACAGTCAAGAAAAATATAGATACACAAACATCATAAAATTGCTAATTAAAATTATTACTTAGTTTGGTCAATTAAATAAAACCCAGAATTAAATAACATTTTAAAAAATAATTCAATTAGTTACCATATAAGAATCCTAACTTTAAATTAAAAGACTTTTCCTTTTTAAAAGAATCATAAAGATGTGTTCACTATTTCGGCCTAGAATATTAGAAATTTCAAGAAATGACTCATGGTGGCAAATAATCTTCTTTATTTAGGAGCCATGGTGGCACAGTGGTTAGAATGCAGTATTGCAGGATAATCCTGTTGACTGCCGACTGCCAGCAATTCGGCAGTTTCTCACTGCTCAAGGTTGACTCAGCCTTCCATCCTTCCAATGATCGATAAAATGAGGAGCCAGATTGTTGGGGGCAATATACTGACTCTGTAAACCGCTTAGAAAGTGCTGTAAAGCACTATGAAGCGGTATATAGATCTAAGTGCTATTGCTATTGCTTTACTGCTGTTAATGTTTTCTTGGTTGAATATGTCTGAGTATCTGAGGAAACAGTTAATCCATACCAAAAACAATGGATAGCAATGGAAAGAAGGTGTTTACCAGAGCCCTTGGTATTCTATTCAAACATTCACTGTATAAAAACACTAGTGTGTAGTGTTTTCGTAACTAAATAGTGATGCGTTTCCTGATCTTGATCATACTAACGTAGTGGGAGAAAATGATCACATTTTAAGGAAAGGATGGACGGTTGACTCGGTAATTTTTACTCTGGAAAATAATCTTAATTATGTTAGTTGTAATGTCTATGGAGATTCTCAGTCATCCAGGTCATAGTTATCACAAAGGTGCTTTTTCAAGAGGCAACTGGGTTTTCTTGTTTTTCTCTGAAGATGTTTCACTTCTCAGCCAAAAAGCTTCTTCAGAGCTGAAGAAGCTTCTTGGATGAGAATGAGAAGTGAAATGTCTTCAAAGGAAAACAAAGAAAATCCAGTTGCCTCTTGAATAAGCACCTTTTTGTTGTGTTAATTAATATATGGCAATTTTATCATTTATATCTATACATTTAATATTTAATTCCAAGATATGTTACTGCTTTCTTGATTTCAACTATTATACTAATCCTTCAACTGATTTGTTACTTATCATATATATTTGTGGATAAACTGAGAATTATACATGCTAAAATACACCCCACAATTGGGTTTGGCTTATCTGCAGATGGGCTTATTAAATAGTACATCCAGTAATACTTTTTTTCAAGGTATCTGTATTTGCCATATTTATTCATGGACAAAGAAATCCTTGAATTTTTAATCAAAGTAACATGAAAAATGTGGATCAGCTTATCTCCAGATGGCAATTTTTTCATGATATTTTGGTTAAAAATGCAAGGGCCACCTTATCCATGAATGGTTTTATATGTATGTATGTGTGTGTGTGTGTGTGTGTGTGTGTGTGTGTGTGTATTATATATATATAATTATATATATATAATATATATATATTATATATATATAATTTGATTTATATGCCGCCCTTCTCCGGAGACTCAGGGCGGCTTACAATGCGCTAAGCAATAGCCTTCATACTTTTGTATATATTTATACAAAGTCAGCTTATTGCCCCCACAACTGGGTCCTCAATTTACCTACCTTAGAAAGGATATATATATATATATATATATATATATATATATATATATATGGATATATATATATATATGAATATATAATATTCATATATAATATTCTACATTTGCATTTTTCTCCTTTACTTACATCTATCTATGTTGTTTCTAGGAATCAAAAATGACTTGATGGCACATAATCAATCAATAAATAAAGACAGCTTTCCAAGCCAATTAAAATGCAATTTAAAATTGATTAAATAAATAAAGCAGTGATTAAAATGGAGATTAGCTTGACATTTTATACATATTAGGGCTGTGCAGCACTTCAGATTCAGAAGTAAATGGATGCCTGTAACTTCTTAAAGCTTCTCTACCTTCTCCCAGAATTGTACCTTTGAAAGCTCTCAATGCAACAAAGACTCCTAAAAAGTCATTGTTCTACATCACATAGGAAGCACCCTGGATAGATGGGACCTCCTGAAGCTTTGGCTTAAATACATAGAATACAATAAAAACAAGACAGAGAGAGAAGCAAAATGTAAGTGTTCTTCGGTTACCTTCCTTCCTATTATATTGTGGCAAGTAATAAGTAACTCTTTAGGACACTCCAGGAAAATATGACTTAAACTGGTTTAACAATAATTCCCCATTCTCATTATCACCTAGAAAGTCTGAGTCTTCACTTAGAACTGTCAGGGAAAATCTTTGAGTATTCTAAACTCTCTCACTACCGTTCCTTTAAACTTTCATGGCAGTTGTATAAAGCAGATTAAATGTACAGATTGCGGAATGGTCAGTGTTATGTTATTGCAACTGTTAGTATGAAGATGACTTAATAAAGAACACTAATTACCTGAACGGCTTCTGTTTCTCAGGCAGAAAATTGTATGGAGAACTGGCATTAGGAACAATCTGCCAGCTGTATCCTGGAATCGCTTCAGTGAAATTAGTGTCTGAACCATCCCAAACTTCAAAAAGAAGGCCCCTGTTTCCTGGGAAGTTGGAAAACAAGGATGGAATCATCAGTAAATGAACTGTAAATGTATTAGTTAATTTATAGATGTGCTAATTAACTAGTGATCAAAACCAGTCCATAACAACCTGAGTCTAAGATCTCAGCCCCACCCAGAGGTGGGTTTCAGCAGGTTCTGACCAGTTCTGGAGAACCGGTAGCAGAAATTTTGAATAGTTCAGAGAACCGATAGTAAAAATTCTGACTGGCCCCACCCCTATCTATTCTCTGCCTCCCAATTCCCAGCTGATTGGGAGAAAATGGGGATTTTGCAGTAACCTTCCCCTGGAGTGGGGTGGGAATGGAGATTTTACAGTATCCTTCCCCTGCCACGCCCACCAAGCCACACCCACCAAGCCATGCCACGCTCACCAAGCCACACCCACAGACCGGTAGTAAAAATTTTTGAAACCCACCACTGACCCCACTTCATTTCTCATTTGATCATTTGGATGGGATATAAGTTGAAGATACCTGGTTGAATTTCACTGAATGTTCTATTATTGTCTACTGCTCCAGTTGTACAGATTATCTTTTGTGGAGTAATATGTTTAATTTGGCAGGGAGTACCTGTGGAGAGGAAAGAAGAGCCTGAAAATTAAAAAATCTCAGAGCGTTTGCAACCTTCCTACATACTCACTCACATTCCAAATTATTGTATGTGCTTTTTTATCATATTTCCATTTTCTGAGGCTTAAATGTCATGAAATTCGATTTTATCATTTTTACCTGCAGCTGTGACTTTCATAGGTGTCTCAAAGAAGTCCCCTGTGATGGTGAGATCAGTTCCACCACCTAGGCTGCCTGTAGCAGGAGACACTGAAGAAATGTCTGAGAGAAAAATAAAAAAGGTAATCATAGGCTGGCTTTTTGTCCCTCTTCTCTCCCTTTATCTTCATGAGAACTAAGAAAGGTCAAGAAGTCTGATATGCTTTCTCCAATTATATCTCTGCCTTGGACTCAAGACAAGCAACTCTCCCTCCTGTTCCTCTTCAGACCAGTTCACATTAAGGAAAGTGATTGGTGATCGTCATTGAGGCCAACAAATATTGGGACAGATTAGTTTCCTGTTGGCTCAAGGATTTTTGGAGAGCCATGTACATATCTATGTCCACCTGCTAACTTTTTAAAAAATCCATTTAAAAATAATGAAATAGTTATTATTCTTTATTGAATATGAATGAGAGGGGAAAGAATAGAGATACTTTCATGGCAAAAAGTCACTCTTTAATCTCTCTCTTTTTTTTTAATTAATTGAAGCTTTTCCTCTTGCTGTTGTTTTAACATATCTGTGATATTGGCCAGAGTATCTGGGGCTAGCCTCATTTCTGGCTAATCTATCTTCTTTGGTTTAACCACAGGTCTAGGGTGGATACCTGTCTCTACCAAAGTAGAGGCCTCTTCTAAGGGAGAATCTGTCATTTCTGCATTTTTCATGTCTACTTGTTTGTTCTAGTTTAAGCCATTTTCACTTGTGTGATTGCCATCTTTTGGATATTCCACTTCTGCCACCACTTTGTCACAGGTTCTTTTAAGTATACCCAAGTCAATGGGTTCCAAAACATAACAACACAAGTTCCTAGGCATCACAAACATACACACACATTCACAGGGTAGTGTTCACTGCTGCCCACTACTACACTCTTCCCCACTACTCCCACACCTCATACAACTGTTCCTCCAACTCCAACACTATTCCTTGTGAATTCTATTGTAAGAAGTTAGCACCCACCCCTTTCCTAGAGGAATGAAATATTTTGAGAAAAATTAAAAAGGCAGAATATTATGTTTCCCTGGATAAGAAATGGAGAAGCATGTTTTAAAGACGAAGCAGCTCCCATCTTTCTGCCCCCACTCTTTGTCAATGGGACAGAGGCAGAAACTCAATCTTTGTCAATGGACCATCATCTGTAACACAATAGGACCCATCTAGCAACAGAAACTAACACAATAGGACCCATCTAGCAACAGAAACTCACCACATGGCACTTGGGAAGATTACATCAGCCAGCAAGGCTAGCTAAGACCCCGCCCCCTGGGAGTCTGACAACCAATCAGGATACTCTTTCTGGGCCCCAGGAAGTTCAAAGCCAGAGAGGGCAAAAAACCCGGGGACTCGCTGCGTCTTACTCCTTTTCTGTTCAGGAATTCAAACATGTGACCCTGTCCACCATTAAACCATCTTTCCAAGCAGTCTCCATGTTTCCAGTGTCTTTTTCCCCACTTGGAGCTGAACCCATAAGGATATTTCTTCCTATACTATTACAGCCAAAAATATTTCTTTCTACCTGGTTCAGGCTGCTTTATTTCCACACAGGAACACACATCTCCCTCCATCTCTCTCTCTCTGTCACACACACACACCCAAAACCTCCAACGGTCTCTCAACAGAGTTTTTCTAGCCAACATTGCTGTGCTGGCTGGGGAGAGGGCTTAAAGAGACAGGACAACAGCTACATAGGTGCTGACCATTTTCTAGGCAGCTTGCCCTCTCGCATAAATTCATTCTAAGAAAGTCCAATAAACTAGAAATCAATTTAATAGTTCCAAAAACAACCAACCATGCTACTAGAAAAGACATACTGGATCCTAGTTAAGCACAATTACATCTCATATATCTGGGATTAAACCAAAGAATATTAAAATAATACTATAGATGGTACATGTTCCTTTACACTCTCAGGCTAGAAAATAATAGATTTTATTTTCATTCTTGATGGAACTTGCCAGGTATAGGTATCTCTATATATTAGATGTTATTCAATGTATGTCCAACTCTATACTGGGATTGAACTCCCACGGTTGTGTATTGATGACTATAATGCAATATGGTATGGTTAAAGCTATCTTGCAAATAGGGGTTAATTTATCTGGTCCTCAACTCTCTAATCTGAGAGAACAAACAAATAAGAAAGGTAGGTGTACCATTCATTGGATCTACAGACTTCTCTTCCTTTAAGCTGCTAAAAGTATCATATAATAGTCATCAACATGCAAGGCCTGGAACTTCAAATATCAGTAAAGGATTGAACATATAACATATAACCCCCAACCCTCTCATCTTTTCAAAAGGGCCTAAAGACGTGACTCTGCCAATCAGCTTGAGGCTCCAGTGGGGGAACAGCACAATGGAGGTGGTTGATTGAGTAATGACAGATCCCACCTTCCACCCCCACTAAGCCCTTGCCCTCCCCATGTGTCCTTGGTTTTAATGGCTGGTTTTAACTTTTTATGTTTTAATTGTATATATAACTGTAAGTCGCCCAGAGTTACCCTACGGTAAGATGGGCAGCCAATAAATTTTATGACTGACTGACTGACTGACTGACTGACTGACTGAATGAATGAATGAATGAACACTAACATTCAAGGGCTACCTATGGCCGACATTCCAACAAGAACAATTTAGACTGTACAATGTTTCCTAGTAGTTAGTAATGAATATAAGCATTGAAATATATAACAGTTATTGATTAAACTTGTTTTCACATTCCTTCCACGATCTTTCAAAATGAAGCACTGCAAATGTTACACCAAGATAGAGCACAGCACCTGAGAATGTCTGGTACAAGAAAAGTTCCTGTTTAGCACTTATAAGCCAAGCATCTTTGTGTACTATTGACCTGCAACATTAAAACAAGAAAAATAATCAGAAATACTTAAATGAGAAGAAGGTAAAATTGGCATCCATAGATTATAGCATGAAGGAGAAATTGTAACATTGTGATGAAACACTGAGAAAATTAGTGTTTAAATAAAGGATTAACTGAACCTTTTAGCAAACATATATATATATATATATATATATATATATATATATATATATATATAGTACGGTGCTTGTAAATCTCTTAGCTATTGATTGTTTCTTTTCCTCTTGTGCTTCTTTTCTTTTCCTTTTACAGATGTTTAATTAAAACCAAAATTCAAAAAACCAACCATTCTCATACCATTCTGGAAATTTGTCAGGTCAAGGACCATTCCCCAGTTTTATAGTTTGTATTGTCTACACAATTTCTTGTAATATCACTGTAGTTGGCAGGTTATTAATTGTTTTTCTGAGACATCTCTTCCATTTCAATTGTTTGCCAATAAATTAATAATTTCTGTTTAATTACTGATATCTCTGATTTCTAAAACTGAGCATGAAAATCATAGCACTGGAAATCGATAGATTCTGTCCCAGTTCTTAACTGACAATTATTCGCCTGAATTTCTGATATCACATTTCATTGTTGAACATAGTCTGAGGTTGCAACAGGGGCTACTGAGGAGTCCACAGCAAAGCAGAAGAAATCAAAAAGTAATGAGGCCTAAAACAGCTTTGGTGCACTTGAAAAAGAAAAGTACATTCTGTACATTGTAGATTTAAAAAATGCTGACTATCTTAAAGTCCAATATGTCCTTTTGAAAAGTAAAAAGAGGGTGTTTGGGGAATATTTCCTATAGAGAATCTTTGTTTAAGTTAAAAATAAAAATATGTTGATAGCTTGCAAAATTTCAGGATAACATTTATGAAATATTTCAGGAGTGTTCTTAGTGGAACCATAAAAGTTAAAAGATAGCCAGATCTAGTGGTTAAGGCACCAGACTTTTGCTCTTACTGTAAGTTATTTCTATACTGTGCATTTCTCCTAAGTGTAAATATTATGGTCTCATGCTTGAAATTGAAACCAAATGGGAATGAGAAGGTTTCATGAATGCAGGACATACCTAACATATGTGACATTTGGAACAGATCATTTTTTGACACTCACCTCTCTGTCACTGATGCCCCATGTTGCCTGCTGCCAAACATCTACCTAATCAGTACACCAACCACAGTGACCTAACTCCACACCTCCAGATAGCCTCTTTACTATCTCCAAATTGTCAAACAATATGGCCCCAGTTGCCTGCATCTGGGACAGACCACTGCCCTGCCCTTCGTACACAACTACATGAAGGCATTGTAAATTAATAGGAGCTTTATTAAGCCAATGAAGGAACTTTTCTTTTACTTACTTTCCCTTGTTATACACTGAAAAGCTAACATTGTGTGACCCTGTAAGAAAAGAAAACACACTTTCAGTGTAAGAACTTGAATGCATAATTTATAAATGCTATATTTTATATTTTTTGTTTTTCATCAGTATAATAAACTATTTTCAGAATTCTGAATAGAACTTTTGCTTTCACTTTGACATTTTTTTCCCTAGGAAGTTATTTCTGGTCTCCCTAGCTTTCACAATGCTTTTATTTACTGTTTTGTACTAGCTACTTATGTTTTGTCACAGTGGCTAGGAATGTCCACTGGAAATAGAGATAACAGGAAGAGTCAGAAAGGAAAACTGATTCCTTGCAGAAGAAGACCCACACAAAGATGTTTATAACACTGAATAAAAATATAGTAGTGTATTATTTTCTTATTTTTACTAACCAATATAGTTGCCTTCTACTTCACACGCTACAGTTCCCAGGCCATCAATTAGATGAATAGGATAACTGTAAACAAAGCAAAGAAAATATTACTGAAAAGGTTAAAATGTCTTGTTCAACTGAAGAGAGATCATATTTCTTCATTACAAAGATTTCTAAAAAGGCAACAATACATGGATTGCAGGTCATTGTCTTCAGGTATTCATTGAACACAAAATCATTGAAATAATGTTAAATGCTTTTAAAGTTTTTGATCCTAGATTAGGACATACTACATGAACTACTGTAATCTGCAAACAATAAATGTAATGATATTTTTCTTTGCTAAAAGAGAGAATAGATGCATCTGTGTGTGCCAGCATTCAGGACTGTATATCCATGTTTAGATGGGCATAAAGGAGCCATACTTTATAAGAAAATAGCTTCAACTCCTTGAACATTTTGCTTGTCACTTCAACATCTATAATATAATTTTTGAGATACAACACTGACCAGAACTGATTGCAATACTCAGTATGTGATTGTACCAAAGATTTATACCAAACCATTTTGATATTGCATATGTAAAAAGGGGATGGGGGATAATTAGATAATTAATTATATATCAAGTAAGGATCAACTTCTGGTGATTACATGGACAATGTTTGCTATATTAACCTATCTCTAAATTCCTCATTCCAAAGACATTGCTATAATTTTTCTGATTCCATTCATCCATGCTATCTGTTGCCTTTGACTTCCCAAGCACATCATTTTTTTTTCTGATCCAACATCTGCTCCTCAGAGTCTGAGAATTGCTTTCTCATCATTGCCTTGAGGGAGTAGCTGGTCTATATTTGTCCCAGACTGTTTCTTTTTCTTGCAGAGTAATTTTTCTTAGTAACCACCTCCAAGTTCATGATTTGATGTTATCTTCTTTCACTTGTTGTTTCTCACTTGCTCAGAAAAATTAAGTAGTTATTTTTCAGTGTACAGCTATGTTGATAACGAAATTAAAAAGTTCTGGATAATGGATTTAAACAAACACCTGCCACATAACACATAGATAGACAGACAGAGTAAGAGAGAGAGAGAGAGAGAGAGAGAGAGAGAGAGATGGATTGCACTTAAAGACTTGAAACTGGCCTAAAAAGTTAAGTGTTACTTTTTTGTTTGTAACCAGATGCACAACACAGCTCTCATTGATGAAAATAATGACATTTTTTTCAATAATGAAATGTTATTATTTATTTTAGCTTTATGAACTGTGCCAATTGGTTTCAATGGCTTTCAGTATAACAGCAATTAAATAATAATAATAGTGTCAAGGTCTTTCTGCCGTCTCCCATCTCCTATTGCCCACCCAGCCTCTGTACACTAACACTGGGACAATGTCTGTAATAAAATATACCAATTTCTGAATCCCAGCCTTGATCTTTTATCTATGAAGGGAAGAAGGAATCCCAATGCATTAGATGGGAAAAGTTTTAAACACATTAACTGAATCAAGTCTAATTATTGTGCCAGAAGATAGCAAAGAATAAGCTCAGGTTAATACTTGACCTATTTTCTTTTCCTGTAAAAAAAAAAAGTTACTATCCAGCCTCAGAACTTCTTATCAATGACTTATTAAAACACTTCACAAGAAAGCTTCATTGATTTCCTGATTCCAAACAAAGGTCTTTTCACAAATTAAAAGCAGGAGGGGTTGAAAACAGACTCAACATAGGTCTCATTGTCTCTGAATCCACACACAATGAAGTCTCGCTGACCAATACTGTAATTGTCAGAACTGATTTCACAATCTGAGATTGCTTCCATCACCATCTAAACTTTCAATACCCAGCAGCCAAGTCCAGAAGGTGACCTCAGTGAATTCCATGGGACTTATTTTCAGGTGAATGAATGCAACCTAAAGTTTTTAAGGCACTTCTAAAACTAATTTATATTGATTCAAAAAACCAGCATCAATTCAAGACTTGTCTGGTAAACTTCTAAACTTTAAAGAATATAGTGTAAAAGAAACAATGATTTATAACTTACATGCTACGTGTCTGCTGACTGGCAAGAGAACAAATAGTTATCCAGCCATTTTCTGCCTCAAGGATTACAGGCCTAGAGATGAAGGGATAAAGTTAATCAAGCCAGGAAAAAATAAGCTCTCTCTCTCTCTCTCTCTCTCTCTCTCTCTCTCTCTCTCTCTCTCTCCTCTCCTCCTCTCTCTCTCTCTCTCTCTCTCTTCCTCCCTCCCTCCCCCCACTCTCTCTCACATACAAATACCCTAATGAAGGAACTACCAACAGGAAAACCACACCTCCACCAACACTGGCATGGCAAGTCACATTATATAAAAAGGGAGCTAACCCCACACTCACTAACACTGATGATGCTACTAGTTGGGAAATGAAATGTCTACAACCAAACAGCCAAGCCCAGAGAGCACCAAGGGCTCCACAATTAAACCCTGAGCTACAGATATTTTCTTCTATTGGAACTTAATCATCTCTTTCCTGTTGTCTTAAATTCAGGCACATCTTTCTCCTCTTATTTCTTCACAAAATATAACAAGAAGTTTACAAGGAAGTGAAATGCCCTTCATTTACAGTACTATCTTCCACTAGCACTCTATGAACAAATTAAATATTATGTCCAAAACATTATGTCGGTCAGCAAAAACAATAAAATCACTTGCTTATCAGATGTTTGAATCCCATTCAGACAATTGTGTAATCTAAACAGATTAGCCCTCCTGATCCCATCTTGCACAGCCACATGTCACCATCAAGAGGTCACATCTGCTCTATTCTGCTTCAAATATATAGGAAGGCAGATGGACAGAACAATAGCTTTATATCACTTCAATATCCCTATTAACTGCATTTCCAAAATATGAGAAAATACTACTGGACATTGTAACTCAGAGAAACACTGAACACAGGTTTACCCATCAATAAAGTCCACGTTGAAATTATAAGTTTCATAATCCTGGGCCAGAATCCGACCATAAATTTGTATTACATTTCCTATTGAAAAAATAAAAAGCAGAAATTAGAACATATTGCTTCAAAAGCAAAATGAATCTATATGAAAAATGAGAAAGGGGAGTGATGCATTGATTTGTTTGATGCAAATTCAGACCAAGAAAAATGTCCTTTGTAAGAAATACAACTCAGAATAAAACATCTTTTCATTATGTGTTTTAAAACTCTCATTCATATATATATATATATGGTAGACATAAATGAACTTCAAAGTATTCCATTCCTCCCATTTGACATTGTCATTCCTCCTCTTCTTTATTGGTTTATGATAAGCTTCTTTCACTTCTTACTTTTCACTTCTTTCACCTTTAAAATTTTACATACATGGTATCACATACAGGACTGCTTTCTTCAGCTAAAATTGGCATGCATGATACACACTTTCTGGGGAAAACTGTTGCTCTTCCCCTACTTCTGCAAATTAGGAAGTTGATTCCAGAAAGCCTTCCACTGGAGATTAGATTTGCCTCCAAATAAAGAGTCTTTTAAGAGATGATAATTTTACTGTCGTATATTATTTTACTGTCCTATTATTATATATTGCAAATTCAGAATTCTTCAAGAAATTCTTGATTCCTGGTGCTCAAGTGTCCACAGAGCCAAGACAAGAAAGGTAAACAATGACACACATGTGTTGATGTCATCATGCAAATGCCACAATTTATATACTTGTATTAGAAGTTGTGATGTACAGGCAGTCCTTTACTTACAACCACAACTGGCACCAGAATTTCCATTGCTAAGCAAGGTGATTATTAACTGGTGACCAATTTTACAATCATGTTTGCCATGGTTAAGTAAATCAGTGCAATTGTTAAGTGAATCATGTGGTCATTAAGTGAATCTGGCTTCTCCCATTGATTTTGCTTGGGAAGATCACAAATGATGATCACATGACCCTGGGATGCTGCAACCAATATGCTAGTTGTCAAGTAGCCATATTGTAAGGATTGCTCTCCTTCTAACTTAAGAAAGTAAAAACTCTTGAAATGTGGTTGTTCAAAAGAGACCTTTTATTAAGCAGAAGTGATAGCAACCCAGTTAAAGCAAGATCTGAATACCCTTAGGCAAGACAAGTAGGATTAAAACAGTAGAGACCCCTCCTTTTAAGTCAGAATGCAGATTTTAACCAATACACAAGTGTGAAGCTGCTTTCTTTACTAGTTTCCCTGAGAACCCGAACAACCATGCATTCACACCTTTATCCTTTAAAGTGAAACAACCCACATGGCTATCATAAAAATTCCTCCATGTAAAGAGGATCTCAGGGATCTTTGGCACCAGGATATAGGTTGTAAAATATCTGTTGACACAGGCAATGCTAGTAAATCGAATCCAAGTCTCCCCCTTCTTCCAATTGAATGGCAGTATCACTTTTAGGGATCTGACACATATTTTAATCACGTGACCATGAGGATCCTGTGATGGTCATAAGTGCAAAGACCAGTCATAAGTCATTTTTTTCAGTGCCTTTGAATAGTTGCTAAATGATTGGTTGTAAATTGAGGACTACCTGTATGCTAGTAACTGCTAACTTACACAATCGTATAATTATTGCACACATGTTGCCTATATATGCTGTTATCTTTGTGGCTTCATGGACATATCCATGTAGACTTCTTGTCAACAGTACAGACGTGGGTTATCACTGCTGCCTTCTGATATGTTTTGTGAACTTCCTTCTTTGTGGGGGAATTCTCATCCAAATGCCAACTGAGATTTTTTTTTCAAGATCAGGTTTTCTAGATACTGCTAGTTTGAAAGATTTGAAATTTTCTCCTCTTGAATTTAAATCATTGTAAACTTCAGAATGAAAATTCGTTACTTTTGAATTCACTAAAACACATTAAAATGTCTTTGGATAGTCGGCCATTTCTTTTGCTTGCTTTAAACCTCCATTGTATTATCACAAAAGCATGTGGTGAAATATCATTATGAAGGAACATAATTAAATCATTGTAGAATGTAAAATGTACCTGCATCTTTCAGGAAAACTATGGATACACAGGTTCCAGCAATGTCTTCCACCTCCTGATCTTCAGCCCTATTTTTCCAGCAGTATGAGATGCTTTTGTTTTCTCTTTAAAAGCCTGGCCTTTTTGCTCAACAGCATTTGAAGCCTTTGACAATTTAGCAACTCCTGCATAAGTCCCGGTGAGTCCCCCCCCCCCACATTTCTCCACAGGCTGAAGACCTGAAATCAAGGATCTTTGCTTGCCAATTGCTTATTAAGGTGGTGTTTACACTTTTAAAGTCATTTCTTTACCTGGGACTCCATATGGGGGATTTACTTGAAACACCACAGGTGTCTCTGCAACAGAGTACTATTAAGAAAAGAATACATTATACATTAGATAATTCTTCAAAATGGAACACTTCATTCAGTTTCAATGGATTCCTAGCCCCTAAATTGAGCACCTTCTATTCAATAAAATTAGTTTAACATAGCAATGGGCTCTTAATTATAATTCAGCAGAATAATGGGAATACTGATACTTTCTGTTCGTTATGCATGTTATTGTCCTGTCACTAAATAATTGCAAACACGTAAGCAAACTTGCAGTGCAATGTAGCATGATACTGTTTACTTTTCTGAATGGTTGTGTATTTTTGCTCATAAATAATATATTTATATTAGAGAAAAATGCCAAAATATGCAAAAAAAAAATAATAATCCCAATTTTAAAAAGCAGCAAGATGAAAATAAATAATTATAATAGATATGTAGATCAAATGTAATGCATTTAACACTGGAGAAATTATATGGGTCCATCCATTCTTAGCTACATAACATAGTTTTCAAGATTGGGCAATTCAAGATTGGTACCTCTATTATGCCAACATTAAAGAACATGTCAATACAAACCCCATTTGGAGACTTTTCAGACTAAATTTTCTTAAGCTTGATTTTTAGCGCCTATATAAATTTTGGTGAACTTCCAAGAGGGCCATCATCTTTTACAGAACATATATTTGTGGATAAGAAGGAGATAAGAATACTCCTCTCATCATGTTGATTATCATGATGGAGATCAGTCTCTCAAAACATTTTTTGGACATGTTTGATACTATGGGGGGTGGAAATCACACTTTTTCTGAAATTGGTCATAGCCAGATGTTGTCTATATTGTCACAACTATTGGAGAGAGAATACTTTTTTTCATGTCCATAGGTCCCAGGTTGCCAAAACAAAAAGCAGCAATTTATGTTTTGTTTACTTAGTATATGTTTCATCTGTATCTCTCCAAGAGTTATCACAATTTTTGTAAGCCAACTGAACTGGAGAATAGGCAATTTAATATGCAATATGTTAATATGTTGTCATGCACAATCAAAATTAGGTTGTATTTGTAGAGAATGCTAGAAGTTCTGATGTACAGAATGTTTTGCATTTGTATTTTGCTTTTGTTTATCATTTAAAGCACATTTGTGTTGATACAGTTCCATTATCTAGTTACAATGATAGAAAACCTTAGATGATTTCTCTTTCAGAACTCTGCCCCAAGTATAGGAAAAGAGGTACTACTTAACTTAGAAAAATGATATTCCATGAGATCATAAAGCAAAACTAACCTTGAATATTTAAATTCTTCTTGGAATAAAAATAATAATCTGTCACTGGTCCTGGTCATCAGAGTCTTACTACTTAAGTTATTTTATTATGTACCTGGAATGTACAGTTCTCTTCATGTAATTCATCTTGGTTGCTGATACTCTGTCCATTCAAACTCAACAAGAGATGGTAAAATCCTTCCCGTGGAGAAGATCTTCAAGTAAAATAGTGAAAACAGAGAAACGCTCACTGAGACAATGAATTTCTCATTTTGCATTATTCAATTAATTTTATAACTAAAGCTAGACCTGAGGAAGCTGTGGTTTCCTCTGCCTGATTTTGTCTACAAAATTTGTTTGCCTTCAACTTTCTATAGTAGAGGATGAATGATAGAGAAGAAACTTCAGGATACAGAACAGCAGGTGGGAAAGGAAACTAACAGTAGAACTGGATGTGAGGACGAAGAATCAATTTAATTTAATTTAATTAATTCAATTTATATGCCGCCCCTCTCCGAAGACTCAGGGTGGCTCACAATACATTTTAAAAAATCATTATAAAAAACATTTAAAAATTAAAAACATTAAAAACTCATTCATGACCGGATCTCGCCAGATCACAAGAGCAAGATCAATGGCCCCAGGCCTGCCGGAAAAGAAGATATGGCAGCTTCAATTTAGCCATGTATAGTCTTATCTATTAATCTAATCGAACAGCCCTAAAACTGACTGGTTTGCATACGGTAAAAAAAGGGAACAATTTTATTATTTTGACTACATGCCAGCTAAGAACTAAGGCTTTTCAAATATACATAGAGCAAACAACTTAATCACTGCAACAATTGAAGAGATCTTGTGCTTACAGTAGCACTGTACAGTTTTAAACAGAGTAAGCTTTTCCTCACATAGAAAAAAAAAGCCCACGTCTTGCTGCATTTCAGTTACTGATGTGGCTTTTTCAGGGGAAAAAAAGCTGTACAAACAAAACCAAGCAAAACTGGGTGATGTGATTTTTTTTGTTTGTTTGGTTGGTTTTGGTTTATTGTAAGGATGGAGGTGGAAAAAAACAAACTCTATATGGAATACAGTTACAAACTACCAGCAAAGTGCACTAGGTCAATGGTTTAAGTTAGTAATAATTATCCAGAAACCTAATCTTTAGGCTTAAATATTTTTCTGTCACTGTTCAGGTATGTGTTAGACTTGTTAATCATTATTCGTAGGTTTTTAAAATGCTGACTTCCTCCTTGGCTTTTAGGTCAGAACACAGACTAAAACTATTTTACTGTTATTCATCAGTTTCTTAACAGAAATAAGTCACCAGGCCTGGGGAGCTGTAGAGCCTACTCAACAATATGACTTCTTAGTCTTTTGTTGACTTTACCCACCCATCTTCAAAAGTCTTACACCACAGCTCCCCTAACATCCAAATATCAAAGTCACTGGACTGCCTTGCCTTGAAATATTATATAAAACAGTACAATTATTTTACCTTTACTTTAAAATAATGATGACTCATGAGACTTATATTAAGCTTTAAAAACAAATGAATCGGTTAATTCTCATTACAATAGGACTTATTCCGTTTGGTCTGACCAGTGAATTGAAAAAGATTTGAAAACAACAAGATAGGAAAGATAGAAATGAATAACATAAGCAAAGAAAACATTAATAATGTGACAATATAGAACAAAATAATTTTGTAGCCAAATGTCAAGTGAGTATTGTCATCCATATAATTCTAAAACAGGGACAGGCAACATGGTGCCGTCTAGATCTTTTGGCAGATAATTCCCCAACTAGTTTTCCATTGATTCTTCAGGCTACAATGATGGAAGATGAAGCCTCAAATATCTGGAGATGACAGCTTATCTGGCCTAGTATTCTAGTCAGAATACTAGGTAAGATGGACAAAGGGATCTGGCACCAACATCTTCCTATGTCCAGTATGTTTCTGGTACATTTTTAAACTTGTTTGAATGCCCACTAAGTTTAAAGGAAACTCAAAACACTGAATGGTCTATAAGAAATATCTTAACTATATGGTCATAGGCATGTAATATTCTGCTCTGCTTCTAGTAATTATCATGCAGAAAATAATTTTACCTTGTTTGGCATTTTATTGTGGACATGAAGAAACTGGCAGGCATAATGTCACACAGCATTACTGGAGGCAGTTCTGGATTCCATAATGCCACTTCGAGCTGTGACCAGTTGACCAAATGAGAGAGACCTAATGGTAAGCAACAAACTAATAAATAAAACCTCAAACATTATTATTATTATTTATCGGATGGCACATTTACATCACATTTCGAACCTGAAATATTTTTTAAGTAAAGATTGTATAGGATAAAAAGTCACTTTATAAAGTGGCATAAAAATTAATAAATAAATATTGATACCCTGTTTCCCCCAAAATAAGACATCCCCTGATAATAAACCCAATCAGGCTTTTGAGCGCATGGCAATAAGGCCAAGCGCTTATTTCACGGTTCAAAAAAATATAAGACAGGGTCTTATTTTCGGGGAAACACAGTTTTCCTTTTCATAAAATGTACCAGGCTCAAATATTACTAGTATAGCACACATGCTTTCAAACCTATAATAAGGACAAATATATTAAAATATACAATATATTATCTTTTCTTTTAGCTCTTTCTTCATTCTTCATAACTTTATGGCAATTTACTAACTGATTGCCAAGTCATCCCTAGTTTTCTTTTTTTGCATAATTATAGAACATGTGGCTTACTATTTCTCAGGACCAGTTTTTCTATTTACACACTAGGAATGGCTCTTTGAAAACAGAAAGGTTATGCAGCCTGAGAACAAAAGATCTGTAGTTTTGTTTTTATGCTTGGCCACAAACTTCTCTAATATTTTCAACATTGTCTGATTTCAGCATTTATTTTTTAAGGAATGCTGCCTGAGATTCAGGAGATTTAAAATTCCATCAACCTGAGCTCAACTTCTATTGATGGAAGAATCAGTGCTTGATACTGAATCCTTTTCTAGTAAAAAGTTGTAGAGTTTCTAAGGCATGTCCTTGATTCCACCCACCTACCTGCATGGTTTTCTTCTTCTGTGTTTACTATTCTCAACCTTGCTAAGTATAGTCATTGCTCTCAAAGTCTATTCTCTGCTCACATATTTTACCCAACTTTTCTTTGCCTTAAGGAAACAATTATTTTTTATTTTGGGGTTCTTGCAACCCATGATGTTTTAATGAAATCATATCCATAATTTGAAAGAGTCTACCTTCTTTTTCTCACTCATGCTCAAAACCCAGCTTTCCCAGTCATACATTACTACTGGAATTTGAAATCAAAGAATTCCAAAGTGTATTTGGCAAAGACTATTCTAAAAGAGGTATTTTGCTATTCCATTTTGCTCTGAAGAATCGAATTGCGGATCAGGTAAGATGTAATTCAGCAATATCTGGAGAGCCACAAGGTTCCTAAGATAATGTTGTCCTAAACCATGCAAAGGATCTGCTTATCTAAAAAAAAAAAAAAAAAAACAATAACCAGCAGTTGGAACAGGTATTCAAAGTACCATCAAAGTTTATTGTGATCCAGGTTCCACCACCAAGGCTGCCAGCTTTAGGTTCCATGATTAACTTTTCCAAGTTAACTAAAAAGAAAGAAAATACTGTCTGTTAAATAATGGCAGAGACAGCCACTTTTCTGATAGGTAGTCCTTGCTTAATGTTGGTAATTGGGACTAGAAATTTTGCCACAAAGTGGTACAATTATAATACATAATGTCATGTGATGGCAATATGAGCCGTCCCTGTTGCTCTGATTAAGTGAGGTTTGTAGGTCTTTAAGCAAGGACTTTCTCACTTTGATTGGGCAGGATAGATAAGTGGAGGAAGGTGCACAGGGACCCACAACAGTGTGGTATGAACACGGTGGAGCCAGAGATGACTGCAATTACCATTCATTTCTCTTATATGTGCCTTGTTTTATGTTAATATTCAAACAAAAGGAATCTCATGAGATTTTCCCTTGCTTGATAGGATCAAATAGGCAGACATACTTCTGTAATGAATATGTTATATAATGATGTTGCTTCATAAAGTGGTTTCATAGAACTTACCCGCAACAAAAAGAAGCAAAGCCTTGAAAAAGAATGACATTAAAAAATCCATCTTTATCCTCCTCCTATGCTTTCAATTTGAGACTTCCTGTTGAGATTGCAACATCATAAATGATCAAAGCTCAGCAGTTTTTCCCATTTTCCCTGCAAGAGAAATATACTCTACATTCCTTTATTCACATTAGATCCCTTTGCAGCATAGAGATAGATGCCCAGTAGACATTTAACACCAGATCAGAATAGTTATATAAAACCAGGGAAAAAACCTGTCAAAGAGAAATTTCTTCTCATGTCTTTAAATCAAAGGCAGAGAAGATACAGAAACATTCTGCTTCCCTGCGTGTATGCTTCCCCATCATGCTTTTCCCTTTTGGGATAAGCAACTTTATGCAAAGCACAGAAAAGGAATGAAAAATAGTGAGTCAAATAAATTAAAGGCTGAGATAAGAAAGAGAAAAAGGGGGGAAATATAGCTAAATCTGGCTTGTGCCAACACTATGCATCTCCCTATTGCTCTATCCTTGCAGAATTACCTTTACTTCTACCATACTATAGACAGCTTCATTTGTTGCCTTTTGTCTTTTTATTTTGTTTATCTACTCCTTATATGTTCTGTCCAAATACAGCTTATTTATTCTATAAATATGACCATACTAGTTTCTTTCATCCTTTGCAACATATTAGTTTCTTTTTCTAACAAAATTTTCATGTCTAATAAGTTTCCATTCATTTTTCTGTCTTTAGTAGGAAAAAAAATTCTAACAAAATGCAAAATGCATATATCTGTTTTCCTTTTGATACTGATATATAACTTGCAAACTTTCATTCCATTCTATTTCTTCTATCAACACAACAGTCTTGGTCTTCAGGATATCATCTTTCAACTCCATACCTCTGACAGTATCATAGAATCTAAAACTTACTGAAAATTGTTTGGATTCACAGTCATCCATTTAGCCTGCTATACAAAATCAAATGCATAATCACATATCAACCTTTAACAAGATCACACAAATTCATTTATAAATAGAGTAAACAACAAACCCTTTCCTTAAGTTTGTTTTTTCCCCCCACTATCTATTCATTTTATTTGGACATTTTCTAATAGCATTCTCAAATACTGTTTCCTACACATCTCATACTTTCTTCTCTTGTACTGCAAATTCATTATTATTTCTTTTACTTCTTCCTTTTCTTTCCATATTCATTTTTCCTAAGTTCCAGTTATGACACTGCCAAACAACAGTCTGTCCAATGCTCAACATTTCTTATTACACTTGCATCCCTCCTTAATTTTCTCAATCTTTCCCCATTAAAAAAAATCAAATGAATCTTGTTTTTAGATTTACATTTATTCTTTTGCCATGAGTACATATGAATAAATTTTATTTATTTAATATATTTAAATATTGTATTGACATATTTAAAATAAAGAAAGCTTTTTTAAATGAACACTTGCCAAAAAGTCTTCCTTTTGGTGTCTCCAAATAATCCACTCATTTTGTTCTATGTCTCATTTGGTCAAATAAGGTTTGCACAGAGTATTTTTTAAAAAATTAAGATCTATCTAGGTTACCAATCACACCTATGCCATGTGCAGCATTCCACAGTGATATTAAGGATAGTAGTGGTCACTTGTGTCATGTTTTGGCCAGTATGCCACAAACACAATTTTTTTTCTAAGGCAACTTCCCACCATTCTATGTCAGTAGCTAACATATAGTTACTCTCATCCTAGGAAGTATTTGTAGTGTCTCAGGATCCCGAGAAGTTTTGAATATGACTTAAAACACCTCTCTTCCATAAGAAGATAATCTCAGGCAGATTTTCTGTTTCTATTTGAAGTAGTGGTGCTTATCTATCAAGGCATTAACAGCTTGGACCCCTAACTAAATTCTTATGGTTGTATTAATCTGCCTATATCGGGATCAATCTATTAACGTTTCACCCTCAAAAACCCGGTATTATGTACCTCATAATGAAATTCCCTCCCAAAGAATTAATAAAGTGGCTTCTTTGTTATTATCCTTCTAGTACCCACTACATTGGTTGGTTTTAACAAAGCATTCTGTATATTTAATGGATTTGTTTAATTTCATTGTCGTTGCAAACAGGTCTAAAAACCAGTTCTATATGGCAATATACAAATTTGGAGTGAGAGGGAGATTTCAATTACTTTCACTTCATTCACTAGCTATATGGAATGTTTTGTGGATAACAATTTATTTCTTTAGGTCAATTTACAATGTTACAAGATTTCCCAGCTTCAGAAAAGAATAACACAAAAACCTTTCTGCTACAAATAATGGTGTATACAGCTGGTATCCTGGCTAGAAAATCTTTCATATTTTTCTAGGTCAGTAGGTGAGCAGCATTAAGACTGGGAAAGCATATCTAGACACCCACATATCCTGGAGACTCTCTCTTTTTCCTTTCAAATCATTAATCTACAGTAAAACAACAATCATCAATATACTTATTTCAAAATTAATAAAATTTGAAACCTACCATTATAGCATTTGTTTTTTCCTCTTTTTTTGATCAAACATTCTGATTGTGGTAAATAGAAATTCAGAATTTGTTGTTCAGTACAGTTCCTTTAAATGCATAAAATTTCATTTTGCTCCATTCTCCTTTCTGGTACTGAATCAAAGATGAAAGGGGGGAAAAAACCCATCCAAATATTACTTTCTTTTGAAAACTGGAATAAGTTGTTCCATGACCATTCTGAATGCTTGTGATAGAAAAAATAAAAGGGGGAGAAAACCCATTTTCCCTCAGGCCAAGCTTAATGATTAACATAAGCTACTTATTCTATTAAACAAACTTGCTCCAAGTTTTTCCTTTTTTAATAATCAGAGTGATAAGTAGCTTAGAATATTTTTGGTAAAGCAAGAAGCATCTTATTTGATGATTTTAGCTTTTTTTTAAAAAAATATTGCATTTTAATACTTTTTTTTGCTTCCTATATATGAACATTAACAGGCCTTTATATATTAGACAGGTTGAGTGAAATGACTCAAGGACATGTTTCACTCAGGCATGGTGACCTTATACTTTTTTTAAGTACAGTTTTTTTTTCATTATTCAGAAATATTAACTAGAATGAAGCCACTTTTAAATGCATGCACTCTAAAAGCACTATGCTTGTGTTGTTATAGTAGATGCACTGAAAAATTGGGAGATATTATATGTCTCTGTCAATTCCAGTACTGTGAGTGAATACGGATGGCCATTAATTTAACCCAAGCAAGGCAGAATTGCAGTCAATTCCAAAGCCCATTGACTCTACGATTGTATCAACTATGATTCCCAATGGAATTGTCCTCTCCCAGGATCAGCATATTTGCAATCTGGGGGAGAGGGTCCTCTTGGACTCACAGCTCCTGCTAGATGAACAGATGAAAGCCATGTGTCAGTTCTACCGTCTTCAGCTTGGCACCTTGCCAGCATCCTGCCATCAAAGGCTAGGGGCAAAAAACATGTATGGGACAGAGATGGGAAATTGGGAGGGGCTGACATCTTGATAGAGACCCGAGATGCATGAAACTAGCCTGTGCCAGCCTTCAAGGCCACAAAGCCTAAGAATGGAATGTGGATTGCTCCAAACATCCAAGCAATTCTCAAAACACCTTTGTGGGTCTCTATTGGCTAAAGACAAACTGGTCAAGTGGGGAGGGCTGGGATGAGGGGGGAAAGTTTGTAACCTTTTGTGCAGAAATCTTAGTTCCAGCCTGATTTTACTGCAGCCAGTAACCTCTAGTAAAGGACCTATCACTTCAACTAAATGGAGTTAAGGGTCTTTCTTTCCTAGGAACCTAACTGGGGCAGGTCTGACATCATGGCCAGTTCTACCAGATGCCCTAGTTATGACCTTAAAACAGGATGGGCTAAGATGCTTATCATCTCTCATCTATGCTTAAATTTTTTGTCTACATGCGGATATTCTTCATGACCATTCAAAAACTTCAGCTAGTTCATAATGCAGCTGTACACATGCTTATTAATCAATCATGATACTTATATTACACCAGTATTGTTGGAGCTGCGTTGACTATCAGTGTGCTTCCAAGTGAAATTCAAGATTTTGGTGGCAACCTTTAAGTCTTGAAACCTGGTACCTAAGAGTCCACCTTTTGCAGATACCTTCTGCTCATCTGACCTGGACAACCAAAAAGTGTCTACTAATGATTCCCACCTCCCAGGAAATGTGGCAGTAGGAGCTAAGAATGAGTAGTTCCCTGCGGTAGCTTTTCTCTATGAAATAGGTTGCCCTCCCCCCAAAGTAAGAACAGCCCCAGTCTCATGGCCTCCCAGAAGCTGGTAAAAATCTGGATTTTCCAGAAGGCTTCAGGGAGTGACTGTGAAGCCCTTGGCATCAAAATGTTGCTTCATGAGTACCAATTATGTGATGATATCACCAGGGCCGGATTTTCCTATAGGCTAACTAGGCTTCAGCCTAGGGCCTCAAGATCAAGAGGGGGCCTCAAGATCAAGAGGGGCCTACATTCAAATTGTTAGCAAAATTAAAATTACACTTTCACTATAGGTGAAAGGGCCTCATAAGTGGAATAGCCTAGGGCCTCTTTTCATCTAAATCCGGCCCTGGATATCACTGCATTTAATTAAAAGCTCTTCTAGCTCTACTCCAAATAAAAATATATCAGCAGTTTCCAGAGAAATGTGTGTGCTTGCACTGATATAGTGTTTTTGAAAGAAAACAAAATGTTCAATTCCTGCCCCAAACAAAATTTCAAGTTTAACTAGGGAAGATTTAGTGCTTTCTGGGCACTGGGTGGCGGTGCTGAGCCACAATTGAGAAAATGGGACCAGTATACTGTATATTCTGCACAAACAACATTGTCTGCAATCAATTTAGAAAATAAGATTTTTGTAAGCGACTAATTTTAGCACCAGGGCAAAGTATAGACTTGGAATCCCCTTCTTTAGTTATAAAACTAATTATGTAGAACAACTGCATTATATAGATGATAGTGTAGTACTGAATTAGGATACATTTGTTAGCCTTCATAAATATTTGTTAAATAAGTTTATAATAGCTAGAAATACTATTTATGATTAAAATTAAGACCACAAATTATCAAATTCACACAACTGAAAGAAAAAGTTCAACAGTAACAGAGTTGGAAGGGACCTTGGAGGTCATCTAGTCCCACCCCCTGCTCAAGCAGGAGATCTGTACTTAGTCCCGCCAAACTGCCGACCTTTCTGATCGACAAGTCCTTTATTACAATGAATGTCCAACCCTTAAGCTTGTTGCCTACTTGATTACTTTTTTGTATGAATTTGGGAAACATTATTCTTAAAAAAAAAACTAGGAAAATTTTTAGTCACTTCAGTTGTTTATCGAGAGACCCCTGTGATGTTATTTGTATGCAGATGCAGCTGAATATTTTAAAGTAGCAGGGCAGCTCCCCTCCATGTGCAGAAACAGGGCTGGAAAGGTTTCTGATCTGAACTTCAGCCGGTTCAGACCAGTTCAGGCAAACCGGTAGTGGCGACCTGTGGGCGACCCGCCCACCCGCCCCGGCACTATGCCATCCTATTTAGCCATGTTTTCTAAGCTGCACGCATGTATGCAAGCAGTATGCGCAAGCAAAGCACATGTGTGGAAGGCTGCACGCATGCTCACATTCTCAGTGTGCAGCGAACCAGTGGTAAAATTATGTGAAACCCACCTCTGCTGAGCTTCCTTTCTCTGGCCCAGCAAGTTGGTTCCCCTCTCCATCATCGTGCTAGAAAGTTAGAAAAGCTTGGTAGTCCAGCGCAGGGAGGAAAGGCACTGCACTACACTGGAGAAATGAAGCTGGGAGAGCTTCCTTTCTCCAGCACAGCAGGCTAATTCCCCTGCCTGCCCTGGGCTAGAACATTTTCATTTCTCCACCTTTGCTTAGAAAGAATGACTACCGGTAGTCCTCAACGTATGACCACAATGAAGCCCAAAATTTATGTTGCTAAGTGAGCCAGTAGTTAAGTGAGTTTTGCCCCATTTTACGACCTTTCTGTCCACAGTTAAGTGAATCACTGCAGTTGTTAAGTTAGCAACATGGTTGTTGAGTGAATTTGGCTTCCCCATTGACTTTTCTGGTCAGAAGGTTGCAAAAAAGTGATCACGTGCACTGCAACCATCATAAATACACTGTCAGACCTGGAAGCTATCTTTTCACCTTTGAGCCTTCAGGCTTGCCACAAATTCTACTGTGGGAAAATGGGAGGGGGGATTGTATGGAGTGAAGATGATATGTAGTCAAAATAACATGAGGACCCAGATTGTGGGGGCAATAAGATGACTTTGTATAAAATATACAAAAGTATGAAGGCTATTGCTTAACGCATTGTAAGCCGCCCTGAGTCTCCGGAGAAGGGCAGCATATAAATCAAATTAAAAAAAAAAAAAACATTCTTTCTAGAAAGTCAAGGCCGTTATGCCCTGCAGTGTGCTGAGAAGAATGAGGAGGTATCTTCTGATCCGGAGGGTACCTGATTGGTGCAACCCCCCCCCGCAACACAGAATACATCTCAATAACTCAATAAATAAAAGAAAAAAAAATCCCTAAACCCAAATAAGTAATAACTAACACATATTCTCATATACATAAAGTATATGTATATAACATTATATTATATTACACTGGTATAAACATGTTGTACATTGCGCTGGCCCTGCAAGTCTATCATACTAAACCTAATTATGGTGTTATGTTGTGTTCAGAAGTCTGATGGCCCACGGATAAAAGCTATTTTTCAGCCTATTTGTTCGGGTGGCCATGCTTCTATATCTCCTGCCCGATGGTAGGAGAGTAAAGAAGTGCTGACCAGGGTGTGAATCATCCCTGAGGATTTTCCTCACTCTGTGAAGGCAGTGTGTCCTGGTGATTTCGTCCAGTGAGGTCAGGGGGCAGCCCATGATTTTTTGTGTGGAAGCCGGCAGGGAAGATTGCAAATAGTGATCACATGACTTCAGAGGATTTAGCAACCCATCATTCATGTGAACAGGTTGCCAAGAACTCAGATCACAATCACTTGCCGGAGTGGATGCTGCAACAGCCATAATTTCAAGTACTGGTTGTAAATGGTATGTCTAAACCATCAATTTCCTTTTTTTTAACTGGACGGTTAATTTCCCTCTCATCCATATATAATATCAGATTTTTTTTTCCTATTCACGTGCATGTACAAAAACCGTATATGCATACACATACAAGCACATACACACATCCTTGTCATGCATTCCTTGAAAAAACTAGAGATCTTGGAATCAGAACACAAATAGAGCAGTGCATGTAACCTCCAACCTGCCAGTTTCAGTCTTTGTGAATTGAGCAAGAAAAGTTGACAGGAGTGGAAAGCATGCAGAATTCTCCTTGTGATTCTGAGCCTTCATTTTTGCAAAAGCCTCAATGGGAACTGGAGTGGGAGAGTGTTAGTCATATTCAAGGGGACATGAAAAGGACCTCCTTTCTGATCTTGCTGCTTGCTGCACAGACTAAAAGTGTGAGTGTGTGTGCAGGAAGTGAGGCTTTGGCTGGCATGTGGCATGCTTTCTCTCTAGTTAGAATTTTGCAATGCATAAAGACTTTTAAATCTGCACAGGGACCTTGTCTGTGCCTGTGCCTTTCCATGTAAATCAACCCTCTTCTCCACTAAACAGGTGTGTAAATTGATGGAAAAATAATGACTTGGAAAGAATATTCCTATATGC